CTTAACCTGCATTCAGCTCCATGCTTCCCCAGCATGCCTCATGAAACCCAAATCCTTGCCACCAGCGAAGCATGAGACAAAGGAGGGTAACGGTCCCCAGAATGGGAGAGCTGCAAGGGAGTACAGCAGCCTGAGCCTCAGCCTGGGAAGCCAGAATGGCAGGAATCATGGGACTCATGCCTGAGTCAAACTCTAGGTGGGGAAATCTGCCTGAACTTCCTGTACTGTAGGAGCAGCTACGAAGGGGCCCTGTGGGAGGAGTCAAGTCTAAGACGACAGAAGGGGACAGTAGGAATGGAGAAGCAAGTGTCATCCTGCCCTGGGCTTTCGTGGGTGCAGCACTGTTTGGTACCAGGGCACTACAAGCGCTCCACGAGGCATCCCGGTGGAGGAAGTAAATGCCCAATGCCATGCAGTTCACAGTTTGCAGAGCAGATGGAGGCAGAATCATGTGAAAATAGAGCTTTAGCAGAGATAAGGGCAAAATATGTGGGATGGAATCATGGGTGCCACAACCTGACTTACCTTGGCAGAAGTCAAGGGAAGAAAAGGGGTAGCAAGATGAGGCCGGGGACCATAGTGGGGAGGTGGAGATGGCACCTGGGCCAGGTGAGCGAGGGAGCCTCCAGGCAGAAGGGGTGGGCTGGTACAAGGGACCCTGGTGAGGCAGAGCTAAGAGGGCTGGAAACCTTGGGTGTGGACACTCAAGGGAAGGAGGACTGGCCAAGGAAACTGGCTAGGCCCAGGTAGGGCAACAAGGAGGAGCAAGTGTGGCAGCAGGTGGAACAGAAGGCGGCACTGCATCTGCCTGCTCACCCTCCAGATCAGGATGCAAGCTAGGAGGCTTAGTGGCAGGACAGAATGCATCTCCTGCCTCTGCTCACATCTCAGACAGACCTCAGGGCCCAGTAGGACCAGCCTGTTGGGGCAAGCTCTCCTGTGGGGTCCCAAGAACCATGTCTGTGAGGACCCACAAGGTGCCTGCCGGAATGGAGCTCTGGGCCGGGCCTCCCCTGCTAGGTCCAGGATGACCCTGCTTTCCAATCAATAGTGGAGACATATCATCTGATATGTGTATTTTGGAGGGGACAAAGGGACCAAATGTTGTGAACTTGAAAATTTAGAATGTGTGGTTCTCATATCTACTCCTCACTCAATTATACATTCATCTAGTAAATAATCACTGAGTGTCCACGGCAGAGCTGCACCTGTGCCAGGCATGGGCCAAACCAAGGTGAACAGGTACACCCCAGTTCCAGTGGCAGGCAAGCACCTCACCCCAGAGACAGGATACAGGGGCTCTTCAAGGCAATGGCTCTGGAGCGGGGGAGCGGGCTCCAGGTGTGCTGGGCCCTGGGTGCACCAGGCCCCAGGTGCGCCAGGCCCTGGGTGCATGCAGTGAGCATGTGGGAGGGGACACCTCCTCTTCAGAGATCCAGTTCTTAGGCAACATCCATGGATCAGGGTGGGAGTGGGGCCTCCCACTAAAGAAGTGAGAGGAACTAAAGAAGTGAGAGGAACTCATAGAAGAAAACATAGGCAGTAAACTCTCTGACATTGCTCTTAGTAATATTTTTTACTAAGTAATATTTTTTACTTGGGCAAGGAAAACAAACACAAAATGAACAAATAGGACTACATCAAAATGAAAAGGTTTTGCTTAGCAAAGGAAACCATCAATAAAATAAAAAGACAACCAACTGAATGGGAGATGATATTTGCCAATGATACATCTTATAAGGGGTTAATATCCAAATTTATAAAGAACTCATACAACTCAACAACGAGAAAACAATCAAAATAAAAATGAGCAGAGAACCTGAACAGACACTTCTCCCAAGAAGACATGCAAATGGCCAATAAATATATGAAAAGATGCTGAAGGTCACTAATCATCAGGGAAATACAAATTAAAACCACAACAAGATATCACCTCACACCTGTCAGAATGGCTATCATCAATAAATCAACAAACAACTGTTGGTGAGGATGTGGAGAAAAGGGAACCCTCATGCACTGTTGGTGGGATTGCAAATTGATACAGCTACTATGGAAAACAGTTGAGAGGTTCTTCAAAAAATTAAAAATAGATCTATCTTATGACCTAGTAATTCCATTTCGGGGTATTTATCCAAAGCAATTCAAAACACAGTTCAAAAAGATATATGCACCCTATGTTCATTGCGGCACTATTCACAATAGCCAAGATAGGGAAGCAACCTAAGTGCCCTAAGAAAGTTAGGTCTTCTCACTGCAACACACATTCCTTCAAGCCCAAGGGGCAAATGGGACACCCGTGTGGTGGGCAGGCCACTTCGGGAGAAAGAAGTCCGGTGGGCCCACAGGCATCTTGCTTCATGGGCCGGGATCAGAGTCCCTCACAGGGAGCAAGCACAGGAGAGCTGGAGATCTTATCGCAGGTCTAGTGGAGCAACTGCTCCACCAAGCAAGCTCAGAGACCAGCTAGCCTTCTTGTTCTCCAGTCATTTGCCTTACTGCAGTCCCCATAGCCATGTGTCTGGGCTGGCCGGCCTAACCCTCCACCGCGCTGAGTCCACACACCCAGGCCTTTAACACCCGCTGGCCGGTGCTCTGAGGACCCAAACAGAGGACCGGGTGCAGCTGGCCCAGGGCAGGCTGGGGGGATGGGTGAGAGGAATAGGTGCTGGTGACTGGGGCGGGCATGACAGGCTCACCGTGTAAGACATGAGCACTTTTTCAAATAAAGTGTATTATTCTTCTACTAATAAAATTTATATACATGGTAGAAAAATCAGCATGTGTATGAAATCACAACAAAGAAAAAATTTTAATTTCATAATCTTATCACTTACAGAAAGTCACAGGTACATTTGTGTTTGTCTTTCCAGTTTTTTTCCCCTTTTGTTCTTATATATATGCTTAGATCCCTTCCAATTCCTTTTGAAGATGAAGAAGGATTTCAAAGTAAGACCTAAGGGTTAGATAAAATTTCATTTTCTTTCTTCTTCATCCTTTGATTGACGGGTTTTACAGATGAGAAAAGGAAGGCTTAGAGAGGATAAACGACTTGCCTCTAGCTAGAAATGCACAGCCAGCTCTTGAACTCAGCTCCATCTGACCACCACCCTAGCCATCACTCCCTGCACTGCGCTGCACCCCAGGTTGAGTTATGGCAAAGCCCACTGCTAGGGCACAGTAAAATAGCATCCAATTCTTTGTCAAAGGCCTGGGTGCCCTGGGAAGCCACGTTATAACCAATATGGAAGCAGAGTGTATCCTAATGCAGGCCTGGCCTGAAGGTCTGGAGAAGGTGCCCAGGGAGAAATGAATACATTGAAAAATAACAAATTAGTCACATATTTCTCCCCCTACGGGAAAACACCAGTAGGACCACACATTGAAATAATTCTTTTAGTCTAATAAATACCTGTTGAGCAACCACTGTGTGCAGGCCTTGCTAGGTGCTGAGGACCCAACAGTAAATTAGAGACCCAGGTCCCAGGTTCAAGGAGCAGTGGGGTGATGGACAAATAAAATTGGTGTCTTTCAAAAAATAAACAAATAAAAATAAATAACTTTTTTAAAGCAACTATAAAAGATATTTGGGGAACAACTGGGGCAAATGTGAATGTGGACTGGCTATTAACATGATGACACGTTAATGTTGATTTTCTTAGGACTGACATGGAGTGGTGTAATGATGTCTGCAGCTTTCAAATGGGTGGGAGGCTGGGGAGGCTCTGTCTGCGTGTGTGTCCGTCTCTGTCTGTCAGTAGTATATCACCTATCTATCAATCATCTATCTGTCTGTCTATCTATCAATCATCTATCTGTCTGTCTGTCTATCTATCTATCTATCTATCTATCTATCTATCTATCTATCATCTGTCTACCTCCAAACGAGAGAGAGAGAGAGAGAGAGAGAGAGAGAGAAGCGTGGCAAAAATAGAGAGAGAGAGAGAGAGAGAGAGAGAGAGAAACGTGGCAAATATTAATGGTGTTGCATGTCCCTGGGCGTTCGCTGCGCCTTTGTCCTACCTTTCAGGTCCATCTCAAAGCGAAGAGATAGAAGTGGAAGAATTAGTTTCCCCGAAGTCTCTCCAGCGACCGTGGCTTGAGCCACGGTCAGGAACCGACACGGGTGACGTGTGCTGTTCTAACGGCCTTTTGGACACAGAGGCGGCTAGACCCGGGACAGCAGGGTTCCAGACCCTCGCCCCCCAGCCCCAGGGTAGTCCTGGACCGTTTAGTGCTGCCCTATCATTCTTTCCTTCCTAATTAAGACGCTGTGGAAATAGGACAGCGCCTGACACACAGTTGGCACTTATTTAGAACAATAACGCTCACCTCTGACTATTACTTTCCACCAAAAAGGGCTGTTAACGCATATATTTTAAACTTTGGGGGTGGAAAGAAAACAGCAATATTTCCCTGACCGGGAATCGAACCCGGGCCGCGGCGGTGAGAGCGCCGAATCCTAACCACTAGACCACCAGGGAAACGACGACTAAATGGTTCCCGAAGAGCTAGACTTAATTTCCGGCGTCTGACGCAAATTGAACACGTGTGTGAATGGCCGAAGCTCTGGCGCCGTTTCTCTGTCCTCTCCGGCCCCGGATCAGATGCCACAAATCTGCGAACAGTCGCAGCAGGCGGTGGTCTGAGAACGTTTGCCTTCGGAAAAAAGATAGCAAGGCAGCTTCAGGGAAGGGCCTGGGGAGGGAGTCCTTCACGGAAAGAACGAAAAAAAGCTTGTGTCAGAAGTGGGATTCGAACCCACGCCTCCATTCGGAGACCAGAAAGCCCGTAGGCAAGGGAGACCTTGAGTCTGGCGCCTTAGACCACTCGGCCATCCTGACACTACGTGTGCTCCCCTTGCGTGCAGAACCTGATGGCTGTGACGTTTGCCAAAGACCAAGGAGCATGGTAGCCCAAATCTTGTCCCCACCAGCCTGACCCAGCTAGCTCCAGGACACATGCAATCCGGCTGGAAAACCCGAGAGCCAGCGGCCGCCCCGGCGCCCGACCCTGCGAAAGCAGGAATCTAGTTGCAGAAGCCGAGGGAGAGCCAGGCCGGGCGCACTGCTAATTTCCGTTTGTCCTCACGTTGGACCCTGACTGCAGCGGGGTCGTGAACACTGGGACAGCGGAGGAACACAGCTCCTCTGGCGACCCATGAGAACCTTGCCCGCGGTGCCCGTGTGCCCAGCGCGCCCACTGCCGCTTCTCAGCCCGCCCCGCCCCAGTCCCTGCGCCTTGTTCCGCCTGCGCTGAGCGGAAGGCCGAGTCCTTGCAGAAGCTTACAGTCCGGCAGAACCACTGGGATGCAGTTACGAGCTGGCGGCTACGATTGATGCAAAGAGAAATGCAGAGAAGGGATGGGGAGGGTGAGGGCGACTCATAGCCTCTTGGGAGCCTTTCGGCAGAACGTGAGCCTCTGGGGACGACCGTCTGAAAGGCCCGGGCCAGGGGACTGCGGGGATCGGGAAGAACGAGTGAAAGGAGGCCGGGAACGTGTCTGGGATGGGGTGTCAGCGCCCGGCCAGCCTGTGGAGCCCGGAGTGCTGTGAGCTGAGCAGAGACGCGACCCTCTGTGCTCAGCAGCCCGCGGAGAGCGGGACTGAAGCGGCGACAGCAGCTGAAAGGCTGCCGCAGGCCCCTGGCTGGGCTCGTGGCCCCGGACTAGGAGGTAACCTACAGTTTAGTCCTGGGTGGATCGCGAAAGTAGAACCAACGGGATTGTTGATGTGCAAGAAGCGCAGGGACAGCACGAACTCGAGTTTTGGGCCTGAGCTGCAGCAGAGGGCAATCTCCATTCCGGGGTCAGCGCAGTCTGCGAAGAGGTCGTTTTGTTGTGACCGCCAGCCCGGAAAGACACACGACCACCAGAAATCAGTGAGTTATAGGAAACATGCTCTTTATTCAGCCCGCTGGGTCTGCCAGGGGTACACAGACCCCAAATTAAGCAGCCTCGAAATGTAGAGGTACAAGGTTTTTAAGCCCTAAATCCCATTCCTCATTCTGTCTTAAACACAAAGGTCTATTTTCCTCCTATTCACTACCTGTCAACCCACAGGTCGGTTGTGCAAGCGGGGGTACAGAAGCAGAAAGCTTATTGTTAGAATGTTATGTTCCCATGGGTGATAGTCTATGTTCCTATGGGCGATAGCCTATGTTCCCATGGGCGATAGCCAAGCAGTAATTTTCCAGCCAGCACAGTTTTCCACTGGGATTTTAAGACGTTGTTGGGGAATCAAGTAAGCCGTGGACGCGAGGGTCCTCGGGGCCAGGAGAGTCCAGTAGGAGACCGAATCGGAAGTTAATGGCCAATAGCCGGTCCACACAGCCCTGAAGCACGCTGTAGTTGGCGTGGACATGCCGAAAAGCAGAGAAAAGAGAGGCAGCGCTGCCGGAGGCTGGGCGAGTGGCCCGTGCGGAACCTCAAAGGGAGGTTAGGGCTTCAATGTGTACATTTTGGGGCATGATTAAGCCTATAGCACTCCCCATTCCTCCCTTCCCTTAGCCCCTGGCAATCACAAATTTGCTTTATATATCTATGAGTTAACCTATTTTGGATTTATGCAGTATCTGACCTTTTGTGGCTTCTTTCACTGAGCACACACTTTAACCCTAAGTGTGCACCCATACTGTAGCATCTATCACGACTCCATTCATTTTTATGGCCAAATAACATTCCATTATATGGACACACCATAATTTGTTTTCTGATAGGCATTTGGGCCACTAAGTTATTGTGAATAGCACTCGTATGAACACACGTGTACATGTGCTGAAGTAACTGCCTTTAATTCTTTCAGGAACACACCTACGAATAGAACTGCTGTGTCATTAGTGAATTCTGTGATTAACTTTTTGAGGAACTGGCAGTCTACAGTAATCCTCAAATAACGTAGTGTAGTTCCATGTTGGTTCCCTGTAATATTGATGACGTGCCATAGGAACTTAACCCTTATTTATAACGATTAGCCTGTGGTAAAATTGATATCATTACATGTCCTTTTGCTTAAAGTCACAGAACCTATTGCTGACATTAAGTGAGGACTCTATTTTTCAGTGGCTGCACCATTTTACATCCCACCAATATATGAGGGTTCCATTTTCTCCTTTTTTTTTTTTTTTAATTATAGCCACCCTGGTGGGTGTTAAGTGCTGCCTCACTGTGGTTTTGACTTGCATTTCTCTAAAAACTAATATATTAAAGGATAAATAATGAGAATGTGCTAATTGAACCATGAGAATCTTGAGATAGACCAACTAAACTGTTATTCTGCAATTGTTTAGAACTTAGGCTACTGGACAACTTTATGTGAGAAAAGCATTCTATCTCTGACATTGTTTACAATGGACAGGGTATGGTGGTGACAAACAACATGCTGACTTACTTGGTTTCATTTTTGTATTTGAATCCTCCACAGACTCTGCCCCAGCTCTGTTTCTAGCTCTGCTTGGCTGCCTTCCTGCTGTTTTACCTCCTAGAAGTAGTTGCACATCCACAAGATGAAAATACCCTTGGAATTATGTTATGGGGTCTTTTTACCTTTAGGGAGTTGGGTTGAGGGGAGAGGATGGGCAGGGCAAAAAGTGAGGGTGGGCTGAATAGGTGGTGGCAGGGAAGGCAGGGTAGGAGTTGTGGGGTGGAAGATGGAATGATAATGAAGAGTTGGATAGTAGCATCCTCCTTGGCTGTAGAGGGGGTTGGTCCTTAGTGCTTTTAGACCTTTTGCCTCATATCTCCTTAGTACCCCAAGGGTCCTTCCCTCAAGCTTCCCAGTTGTTTCTCTGTTCTCTTTTCACCTTCCTTCTTCACACTCCTGTGCCGCGTCCTCTTTCTACCCTACTGCGTGACAAGGTCCGGAGATGGGGACAGAGGCTTCAAGGAATGCATCGTCAAGAACGAGGATGTGGCATGTGTTTAGGGATAATTGGTTTCTTAGAAACGATTCTATTAATAGGGGGAATTTGGGTAGCACAAATTCTAGTAAGTGTAAACGCTATACAAATGGATTTCCTCAAAATTGGCTCTGAGGAAAAAATAGTAAATTCCCCACGTATGGAATCAGCTCTAGTCACCCTGACGTGTCCAGAATGCGTAAACCTTTTATTTGAACAATTATTAAGGGAAATTCCTTTTGATGCGCCTCTTAAAGATATTATGAATAAATTATAACAAGCTGAATTACTGGAACCAGTTTATACTCCTGTTCCCACGCAGTTAGTAGAAAAATTAGTGAAGGATAAGAAATTTACTCATAAGCCTGTGCCTACTATGGAAGGGCCTCCTTTTGTGGCCTAGTGGATAAATAGAAAACTCTGGTATCCACCTAGGGGGTGCTAATAGTATGAAAAGATTACCTGATCTTCCTTTGCCTTATATAGGAGCTTATAATAAAGATAGTATACATATAGTGAATAAAGATAGAATTCATGTGCCTTATAGTAGTTTAAGTTTCATAGAAAGGCTGGCTAGGTCAGGATCTCCTTGGTGCTTAAAAAACAAAGGAACAGAAACTTAGCTTATGAAAGCAGCTTTGTAAAACTGATTTTTATAAATATTTTCCTCATTACTGCACCAAGGCAACTTTTGAACAGCTATGAGAAAGGTTCAGCTTGAACTTTAGATATAGTATAAATCAAATAGCATTTAAAAGATTTCTTCAGGCAGAAAGAAGAACAATGTATGCCCACAAGCCAATGCTTGCTGTTATGAATACATCTATCTATCACCTTTACTTAAATCAAACTGTATCTTACGTAATAGATATAAGAATTAAAAGTTTAGATTGTTCCATCAGGTAGTTCTGTTCTAATGATTGAGAGAAAAATGTACTAGTTAATCATGAACATTAATAATAATATACTCTATAAGATTTTCTGCTTCGCCTAACCACAGAAATTTAACTCCCTGCTACCTTAACAACAAAGTATAATCAAATGCCAAAATAAAAAGTATAAAAGTTGTACTCAAATCGCAATAAAACAGAACAGTGTCACACTGCCTCTGAGTTGTGTAGTCGACTGTCTCCCGCGCTGACGCCTTGCCCACCTTCGGGGCCCCCTGGATCCTGTCGTGGCTGGACCGCGGCACTCCTGCCCTCCCCCAAGACAAAAGTCTCCCAAGATAAACTGAGCTTTGATACGTCAGCAAGGCCCTGACCCTAAGCCAGCCTTGGGATACTCACACAGTACCATATCTGCCATCTCCTAAGCCCCAGTATATGGTGTTGGCAGGGGAGTGGGGGACTCAGGAGGCCTAGATGCTCAGGCTACAAGATGAGGCTCTTATAGTACCCCTTAAAAAGCCTCCCACACTACTCTGCCACTCTTCTGTCCATGCTAGACTGCTGTGGTGTGCATAGCAGAGAAGAGGGTTCCTTCAAGCCAGTCCCTGTGACCACTGTGCCATTGTTCATTCTATTGTCCTCATCGTAAAGACCTCAAAGAAATACTTATTTTTAAGTCTCAGTGGTGACACGAACCTCCTTACTCCTCTCCAACAATTTTCTTGTGTGCCTCTGGAGTACCACCTGCTTCTTGCTACAGAGCGACTTTCATATCCTACCTCCTCCCAGTGCCCATTCAGATCTGAGTTCTGCTCTAATCTAAAATTATTGCCTTCAGAATATCAAGACTTCAGTTAATAAACTGGAAATACTGGGTGTTGTAGTCATCTTAATAGATGTGGTAGCCAGACTTAGATTTCCCTGGCGGAGAGGGTGGAGGGGCGGGCATTTGTCTTGGGCATCATACTGGGTGTCTCTGCAGCACAGGGAGAGGGTTGGCATAGCCAGAGTTTCTTTCCAACCACATGTCCTCACCAAATGCTTTTCTCACCTTATTTCACTTCTGGGCTGTTAGCATGCTACCTCTTTTTCTCCTTTCCAGGCCTTCTAAATAGGTCTATGAGAGAGACACTGATGGGGACCATTTTTACACACAGCTATGGCAAGCTTCCTGGATTCTTAGAGATGCTTTTGTGACAGAATCCTGTCATTTGGCCCTTAAGGTAAAGCATCCTTCATTAGAGGTGTGCTCTCGGAGAAAACTGACAGTGTGGTTAGCCTCTGACTGAGTTTGGGAGAAAGCTTGAAGAGTGTCAAGGCTGATAAGGCAGGAGCCCCAGCACTCTGATCCAGCTGACTGCAGTCTACACTCAGGGTTCAGGAAGTTTAGCCATAAGCTGTTGTAGGTGCTCCTGGAGACTGTAAACTGAAGACTCGCAATGAGGGAATTCCAACCATGTTCCCAGGAGCTTCCTGGTGGAAGGGGCTTCAGTTCTCACCAGATGAATAGCAGTCGCAGGAGGCCAAGATTCACCAGGTCCTTGGAGGCACAAGTAAAGAGAGATGGTCATTTGGAGAACCACCCAGATATGGTCTGCAGAGTGAACTGAACAGACCAGGAAGCGAATGCAACAGGAACAGAATTAGGAGAAAGAACTTAGAATGTAGGTGGCTCACAAATTCTGTAGTAGTAGCCTGATGCTGGAAGGTGGCAGCAGAAGATACGTTGGATGCATTTTTGGCCAAAATGTAAAACATTCTAGGTACAGACGAAAAGAGATGAAAGAGTGAGGCAAGGAAAGGAAAGACACAGGGAAGTAAAGAAAGACGAGCAAAAATATGCAAGGTAGGCCAGAAAGGACGGAGAAGGGTAGTTAGAAGTAAAATGGAAGACATGACAGTAAATGGAGAACAGGAACGAAAGAACAGAGCTGAAAGGAAAAGAATAAACACGGTAAGTGGAGTGGAGTGAGAGGGAAGCCGTGAGGAATCTGGATGGAGTCCTATCATATTTGCCTTCATGTCCGTCTTCGCCAGGGGCTGAGGCAGCAGGGGTGGCCCGGGCGCCTGGATTCCAGGCTCTCACTTCGGTTGGACCTTGTCCTGCGCCCCTGACTTTCCTGCCTGTGTTCTGATGCTTTTTCTCCCAGAGCATGTATTCTGGAAAGGCCTTCACTTCTGCTACACATCCAGGGCCCTGGCGCGCAGATCTCCACTGTGGCCTGCGTGAGATCCGAGGTACCTCCGGAAGTCCGCGACCTTCGCAGTCCACCGCGCGGCGGGTAGAGGTAGGACTAGCGAGAGACACGCGCCGTGGGGGCGGGTGCAGCACGGGTCTCCGCAGGACTCACGGCCTGGTGATGGCCGCGCTCGTCCACTCCCGCCCCCGTCTCCCCTGCCTGAGCCAGGTCACCTTGTGAGCGGTCTGGTCCAAGGGGTCCGGTTCCACCTAAGGCAGCACGACCACGTGTCTGCTGCGGTATTCCTGACGACCGTGCATCTCCCAACCGCCCGCGCCCTCATCCTTCACGCCTCACCCTGCTGACTGCAGTGGAGGATTCGGGCTCAGCGTATGAGATTCGCGTCTCTTATATACTGTCCCGTCTGCCTATCACAGCGGTCGCAGAGGGCCCTGGGCGCTAGGCTCCCGACAATGCTGATTGGCTGGAGGAAACAGACGCCGGACACTAATTCGAGAAGGGCGGAAACAAAGGAGAGAAAGATAAGCGCAGGTACTACTTGAGGCGGGAGGGTGTCGATTGGTCTGGTGAAAGTCTGGGCATGGACTGCTCCTGAGCGCGCCTTCTCCACTGCAAGCTAGTCTCTTCTGAGCAGCGGTCTGATTATGACACTGTGACACTGTGGCTCTTCCCTTCTTGGGCCACGGAGCTGAAGGTGACGTTTCTATTTGGAGAGAAGACATTGAGAAATAAAGAATACAGCACTGTTAGTAGATTTGGCTTTTCCCAAGAAAGGAGTTAAGGGGGCTAGGGCGCCACTAGAGTACAGGAAAAATAAATGTCATAAGGATAAATATAATATCCCCCACATCGATCCCCCTACACCTACTTAGTGCTAGTTTACCATGAGGAAACTTAGCAACTTCACATGTGAAAAATTGTCATTTCAACAGACTGTAAAGTCTGTAACTCAATGGTTAAAGCTGCAAAAGCTCAAATTTAATCTTAACCTTTGTAACAGGGATGACAAAATGAGACTCTCAGTCTCAGATTGGTCTGGGATAGTGCTAAAAGCAGCGAAAAAATAGTCTTCTCTCCTCTCCACGCCAAAGAAGTCAGCTCGCCTCTTCAGAACTCACAAAGGAGGGGTTGGTGCCTATTTTGAGAGACTTAGATCATCCCTTTCTTCAATGACACTTGGAATTGATGAGAAGCTACGAGGGAAAAAAAGATATTTTGAAGAGAGGTTTTGGCGGTTAAGACACTAGTTTTATTATTGTGACCAGTATCAAACTGAGAGGACCAAGAGTGTTCAATGAGTAAAGGACTTTTTATTATCTAAGAGTAACCAAGATTCTGGAACCTGCTTGTGATTTCATCCACAGGACAGAGGGCTAGGATTTTGCTGATGTCTATTAAGAGACCATGAGGGTTGCACCTTCATTAATGAGTAGCGTATCTGGAACTAGGTGAGTGACCTTTCTTACTACCTTATATTAGGCAATGTTGAGTCATCAGTAAATGGCGGCACGAGCAGGGCCTATTAGGCTTAGCCTATAGGGGCTCCTGATTGGACGCCATGGCATTTGGGCTGTTTAGGCCACCAGAAGAAGCCTGGGATAGCCAGCAATCATAGACCAAAGACAAACATACGAGCAAGTCCCTAAAATTATTTCAGAGAATGATGAGTACTATGAGGAGATGGAACAGTGCCCATTGGGGTGGAGCATGACAAAAAAAAAGATCTTTCTCCCTGTGTGATCTTGGAGCTGAGATTTACATAAGGGAGAAACAGCCACAAGAAGAGCTGGGGTGTGAGCACTCCTGTTGGATGAGGGAACTGATAAACAAAATGGATGCAGTCAGGCTCCCTTCCAGCAAGCCGTGTGGTTTCCAGATAGCTTTAGCTACAGCGTCCCAGGTGACCTTAGATACAGCCTCCTATACAACCTGTAGATTGTGATTGATTATAGTACCTGGCCTTAAGCCACTATTATGCACCTTGTTATAAGAACAGCCCCACTTGTGCAGGCAGGGGGTGGGGGAGGGGAGGAAGAGGGAGAGCTGTAGCTGTGCCTGTGTCTTGCTGTGTCCTGCTATGCCTGAATAAAGCTATGTCGCTTCTACTCATGACTCCTCGCATATTCTTTCACCTGCCAGAACCACGCACCCTAAGCTTCAGTAGCAGAACAACTCCACAGAGAAGGAATTCCCTCCAGCATACCTAGCATACTTGAAAAATAACAAGAAGGTGGGAGTAGCTAGGACAGAGTGGACAGAGTGAGGAAAGGCAGGGGAGGAGGCCAGAGAAGCAGCCAAGGGCCAGATCACACAGGGCCTCAAGGCTGTGGTAAGGGCTTTGGATTACAAAAGAAATCATTAAAAGGTTTAAGCAGAAAGCTTGCTCTTTAAGGTCACTCTCCCTGTTTTGTTAGGGTAAGAGTGGAAGTAGTTGGCAGATCAAGTAGGAGGAGCTGGGATTAGACTAGAAGAAAGATGATAGTGCTGGTAGGCTAAAAAGTGGTACCCAAAAAGATAACCATGTCATTATCCATGGAGCCTGTGAATATGACTTTATCTGGAAAATACTTTGCTGATGTAACAGTTTTCATATATCGAGATGGGAGATTACTCAGGTGGGCCCTGGATGCCATTGCAAGTGTCCTCGTAAGAGAGAAGAGGAGGGAGATGTGACACAGAAAGAAGGAATATGCAATGTGACCAGGAGGACAATGTTACTGGGGGATGGGGGTGATGTCATGCAGATAAGAGGAGGCAGTGTGACCAGGAGGACAATGATGAGTGATGTGATGCAGACAAGAGAGGAGAAGGCCATGTGACCAGGGGGACAATGATGAGGGTAAGGTGGCTATAAGTCCTGAAGTGCCAGCCACTACCGGAAGGTACAAAAATGGGAGGGTTCCCCCCTAGATCTCTTGTAGGGACCACAGCCCTGCCAACATCTTGATACTAAGACTTCTAGCCTCTAGAACTGAAAAAGAATAATTTTCTGTTTTCAGCCACCAAGTTTGTAATAATTTGTTACGGCAGGCACAGAAACTATATATAATTGGCTTGGATCAGGGTTTTAGCAGTAGAAAGAGCCAAAAGTGATTGGATTCAAGATCCATTTTTGCCAATAGTATCAGCAGGACTAGCTGATGTATATGGTGTATATGATTAGTGTTATGTGTTGGCCATAGTAATATTTGAGAAATTATCAAGTAGCATGTATCATTGCTCACTAAATTGCCAGGCAGTGTTCTAAGTTATGGACTTAGTTATGAACTCAGTTATCCACGGACAGTCAAGTGGACAGTTAGAAATGAGTGTGGAGCTGAAGGCTAGGTTGGAAATATAAATCTAGGAGTCATTAGTTATACTTAGAGCCATGGGGCCAATTCAGTCACCCAGGAAGAGGGGACTTGGTTAGGGCACCAAGGGGCACTTAGTGTATGTTTGGGTGGGATAGCAGAAGAGAGTCCAACAAAAAAAAGGAGGAGCCAGTGTAATGTAGGGAGGAGGCAAGAGAATTAAAATGTTAATCAAGCCATAATCAGAGACTGCAATATGCTGATCAACCCTGCAGCCAGGCCAGGAGGACACCTGCAGAACAAAGGAAGATTTCTGCTGAATCACTAACAACCCAGTCCCCACACACAGGAGGGAACAGGAACCAAGAGTCATTCCCTATTGCTAAAACCATGGGGAACCTAAGGATTAAAGGCTCAGAATGCCAACAGGCCTTTCACTCTACAAATTCATAACCTTTCAGATTACATACCTTTCCCCTTTCTCACTGTATGTCCATATCAAAGGAAATGAAAACTACAGAATGATATATAAACTGAATTCCCTGAACACTCAGGGTCTCTCTCAGTGCCTTTACTCTGTCTCTTGCACTGTCCCTCATGGAGTATTACTCTTTTTCTAATAAACGTTTCTTTTGACTCTAACTTTGGAGTGTGTGTTGAATTCTTTCTCCCTCTCCGCCAAAGGACCCTCTTCTTCTCTCAGTGCAGGGCTTGGTCTTCCCACCAACTTGGGAAAATTTGCCCTGTCCTGCATCAAGTGGGGAGGAAGAAACCCAGGAAAGTGTGAAGTCACAGTGTAGGGCTGGTGTTGTGGAGGTCAGCTGTTGCTCTAAGGGTGGAGAGGCAGAGAGCTGACCACATCTGGAAACCACTATTGGCCTTGAGAAGCATCATTCCAGTGGTTTGGTGGTGAGGAAAGCTGCATCAGTCTATCAACAAGAGAATGGAACGTGAAGAAGGGTCCATGGCAAATATAGGCAACTTTTCTGAGGCCCCTTGACGCGAACAGCTATAGCCTCAGGGGCCTTGGAGTACAGAGAAGGCTCTAGTTCTCTTTTCCGGCAGCTGATTCTGCAGCATGTGTTTGCTTGTTGGTGGCCATTGGGGAGGAGGTGTTCAAGGTGAAGAACTTTTTTTTAGGGGACGTCCCTAGGCAGGTTGGAGGAGTGGGCAGACGCACAGGAGGGGCTCCCGGCTCCATTCTCCAAGCTTTTGGGCACCAAGCGCGGGCTGAGCCACAGAAACGACCAGGCCCTAAACCCTACCATCTCCTAACTCCTGCCCTAGCGGCCACGGTCGCCCACTTGGGCTGGACCAGGGCTCCCGGCAGGCGCTGCGCGGGGCAGCAGTGCGCAGGCGCGCACCTCGGGCTTCGCCTCTCCCTGCCCGGGTCCTGGCCCAGTTCCGGGCGGGAGCCACCTACGCGTAGGGGGACGGGTTGCGCTTAAAAGAGAAACGGCGGCGGCGCGAGCGAGGTGGGCCCCGGTAGTCCTGTCGCTGTCCTGGCCCGCGCCAGGCGGCAGCGCAGGCGCAGTGGGGTGAGGGCGGTGGGGCGCAGGTAAGGCCGGGTGGGGCGGGCGCTCCGGAGCTTGGGGCGCCCTTGCAGCGGGAGGGTCCGCGCTCTGAGCGCATCCAGGCAGGGAGGCCTCAGGTGGGCGGGGTGCCCTGAAGACCCCCGCCCGGCCCTGCCCACGGCGACCTGGCGGTTCAGAGCGTCCGCGGCGCGCACAACGCGTCCTTAGCTGGAGTTGTTCCGTCCCCGCTGCCGACCCCCGGGAAGTTCCCTTGGAAGTCTCAAGCCCTGACCCTCCGCTTCTGCTTCTACTTGATGGGCCGGTCCGGCCGCCGCTCTGACTGTAGCCCTGTGCCCAACCTCCCACCCACAGCGCTGGTTCACGCGGCCTGTACCAGCGGCAGGGGTGGCATGGGCGCGGTGGCAGCGAATGCTATGGCAACGGTTTGGTGCTGCCCCCATTCCACCGTGAGACGGCGGAGGCCGGCGGGCGGGTGGCGGGTTAGGCCGGCCCACGCGCGTCCTCCGTCCTGCAGGCCCCGGGCCATGGCTGCCTCTCCGGCTGACGCGTCCCGCAGGAGGCGGGAGAACCGGCGGCAGCTGGACGCGCGCCGCAGCAAGTGTCGCATCCGCCTGGGCGGCCACATGGAGCAGTGGTGCCTCCTCAAGGAACGGCTGGGCTTCTCCCTGCACTCGCAGCTGGCGAAGTTCCTGTTGGACCGGTTAGGGCCGGGCAGGGATCTGGGAGAGGGCACCCAGCGCAGCACCTAGGACCTCCCTTGCCCCCCACCAAGTGCTGGCCCAATGCTTCTTCCTGTTGGCCCATTTCTCACTTCGGCAGTATAACCTATGCCCCTCTCCTCGGGGTCTCCAACGATAGGGGACACTTAGGGCTCGCCCCTTAGTTGTGTGAGTGCCCAGAGCTGAGGGCACTTGTCTGACTGGGTCCTGGCCTGACCTGCCTCTTGTCCCCTGGCAGGTACACGTCTTCAGGCTGTGTGCTGTGTGCAGGTAGGTAGGGAATAGCTGGGGATAGGGGCTGAGGAAGGAGGGGCAACAGGGAGTGGTGTGCCGGGATTGGATCTGAGGGAACCCTGAGTGATTGAGAAGAGATGGGGAGCCCAAGGCAGTTTGGTGGGGCAGGGAGGAAAAGGGAGCCGTGTCTGGCGGCGGGGGCAGCGCTGTCTGGGAGAGGTTCTCCAGGGTGAGGGTCAGAGGCATCCTAGCTGCCCTGACTGTCACCTTCACCCCTCCAGGTCCCAAGCCTTTGCCCCCCAAGGGTCTGCAGCATCTTGTTGTCCTGTCTCATGCCCACAGCCGGGAGTGCAGTCTGGTGCCTGGGCTGCGTGGGCCTGGGGGCCGAGATGGGGGGCTTGTGTGGGAGTGCTCCGCAGGCCACACCTTCTCCTGGGGCCCTTCTTCAGGCCCTACACCTCCAGAGGAGGCCAAGATGGCCCCTCTTCCAAGTACCTCTGAGCAAAGCTGGTGCCAGCAGGCCAGGGGTGGGCAGGAGCCTGCAGGTATGTAAGGAAAGGGGGTTGTGGGGAAGAGGGTTCCAGCTCAGAACCGCCATCTCTAAAAGTGTTCTTTTCTCAGTGGGAAAACTATGCTGGCAAAGAAATAAATCCTCAAGTATATTTTTAGGTATAAAAAACAAAGTCCTTAATAGGATTATGGTATGTTACCATTGATGGGGAAAAGTAAGTATGAACGAATGAAATATCTCTGGGAAGGCAAGTAGGAACCCAGGTGCCTGTGGGGCAAACTGAGCTAGGCAGCTGGAGACAGTATTTGAAAAGGGGCCTTAACAGTGTACCTTCCTGTACTGGTATTTTTTTGAACTATGTGAATCTCTAAAATACCCCTCCCATAGCAGAAGCCTCTGCCCCTTTCCACTCCTTCCTAGAGGCCTCCCAGAATTCATACCACAGACTCCACCTGTCCTCATCCCTCCAGACCAGAGTTTCTGCCCCTTTGACCCCACCTGTGCTAATAGGTTTGGAATGTGAGCATGAGGCGAGGACTCGGGAGGCCAGGTCGCCCAGGTGAGGTTGGGGTTGGGATGGAGGGACAGGACATATGGGATGGACAGTGAGGGCAAGGGAGCAGGACCTCAGGCTTACCTCCCTTGGACCTGCAGCGGGGTGAGACCCCCACCGGAGTCCTTCCTGCCCCTAAGAGAAGAGGAGGGAGAGGAAGAAGATGGGAATGAAGAGGAAGTGCTCAGCGATGTCAGCCCATGGACCTACAGCTCTTCCCCAGATGGGCAAGTTGTGGGTGAGGGAGGACAAGGAGGGTGCTGGACAGAGCAGCTAAAAGAGTATCTACAAAGGGTTGGTGGTGGGGAGGGCAGAAAGGCCCTGGGCGGAGAAATGAAGTTAGGCTCTAGGGTAGAATAAGGCTGAACACAGGTGTGAGTGGGCCCTGGGCAGGGTTCTGAGGTTGGGATCTGCTATTAGGGGTAAGGTGGGGTGGGGCTGGGTGACAATGCCTTCTTTATTCTGCTTTCAGTAGTGAGCCAGATGTCCCCAGACCACCCCCTTCCCCTGTCACCCACACACTTAAGGAGGGAGAGACACCCCCAGCCCCTGCAGCTGTCCCCACATCTCTGCCTGTGGAAGGTGGGGCACAGCTGGTGATCAATGGGATCCCTCCAGCGTCCCAGCAAACTGAGGCCTTGGCCAGGTAACCTGATGGCCTAGATGGAGGGCAGGGGTTTCGCGGGACATGGCCCTCTGTCGAGGCCTTCTACTCCCTCTCTACTACTCACAGCCCTGGGAGTCAGGCCCCGTCTGCTGTACCTTTGGCCCTGGAGGAGGACAGTGAGCACATTGGCCCCAAGAGAATTAGGTAGGCCTTGGGGAGGGACTGGGGGCGGGGCTGAGAGGAGGGAGGCAGGATGGCAGAGGAGAACCAGGGGGTCCTCCTCCGACTGCCTGTTCTGCCCCACAGGAGAGCCGCCAGACGGGAGCTGCTGCCCTGCGACTTCCCCGGCTGTGGCAGGATCTTCTCCAACCGCCAGTACTTGAATGTGAGGGTGCTCACAGCCCAGACTCTGGGCCCCTGGCAGCGGAGAGGCTGCAGCAAAGGGACAGGAGCCAGGAAGAGGAGGGCAGGAGGGGGCATAGAACTTACCTGCGAGTATAATAATCACTAAGCAGGTGACATAGATGCCCCTCCCCACCCATGGTATATGGGGACCTGGCCGGAGTCCTTGGTCTCTCTGGGTAATAGTGATAGCTCTCAGCACTTTCCTGGGGGGATGCGCTGATCCTGTCCTGCTTTGCAGATGGGGAAGCCGAGGTACGTGAGGTTGCCACTGCCCAGGGCTCCTGGGCTCCAGCCTCACTGCAGGACGGGTTGGAGGCACAGAGCGGGCAAGGCCCAGGCCCACACTCAGCCAGGGCCCTCACAGGGCAGGTCCGGAGGCCGAGGAGGGCCCGCACTGGGCTGGTGAGGCAGATGGGGTTGGGGGGAAGTAGAGGGACCTTAGGTGTCAGGGAGCTCTAAGCTGGGGAGGAGCACCCTTTGCAGGCCAGTCCCAAGTACCTGAGCCTATTCAAGATGAGGTGAAGCAGCCCACAGTGGTTTGTGCAGGGGAATCCTGTACGATTCAATGAGGCAAGATAAGAAAAATGGAGGTCCCAGTAGTGCCTGGGGACTTGAGGCTCTGGCCTGAGTGCCTGCGTTCCCCATGCAGATATAGCAGAAAGACACATGACACAGCCCTTGAGCTGGTGCTAGAACACAGGCCTTCGGGTGATGCTGTGCTTGGACAGTCAGGCCCACCACATGTTCCTGTCCCTGTCACTCAGCACACCCATGCTTAGGGAGCCGCAAGTGTCACCAGAACTGCACTTTGTTCAAGGGACTGGACGTTGCAAGGGGAGGTTGTGGCAAGGAGGTGAGATCATGGAAGTCGAGGGCAGAGTTTGGGGTCAGGATGGAATGGGATCGGGATGCTTGTGTGTAGGTGATGTGAGTTGGTGGTGACAGGGAGAAATGATGGGGTTGGGATGGGGCAGAGGAGCCTGTCGACCAGGTCGCTCCAGCAGTCTCCCTGACACCACCCACTTTCCCTAGCACCATAAAAAGTACCAGCACATCCACCAAAAGTCCTTCTCCTGCCCAGAGCCAGCCTGTGGAAAGTCCTTCAACTTTAAGAAACACCTGAAGGAACATGTGAAGCTGCACAGTGGTCAGTGGGAGGAAGTGCCTCCTCACCTACCCCCGTGGATCCCTTGACCTACCCTGTGGGTCCCTTCACCTCCCCCCATGGTCCCTTTGCCTGTGGGTCCTTTCACCTCTCTCCATGGGGCCCATCACCCATCTGCAGGTCCCCTCACATCCTCTGTGGTGACTATCATGCATACACTCATTCTGTGTCCCGTGTGTTGAGCACCTACCTGCTTAAGACTTGTAGGTGCCGAGACACCGCAGTGAACAAAGCAGGCAGGCTTCAACTCGTAAGATGTCCACTCTAGGGATATAGAGCTCTAAAGAGATGTGACAGCAGGGCAGGGAGGCGGTGCTCGGTGGGAAGGGAAGGTGCTCTGAGCAGAGACCACAGTGAAGGGGATGGAGACTTGCCCACTTCTGCAGGCAACGTGTAGGAGGGAAGACTGGACAGGCAGTTGCCCCCATGAGGATGCTTGGCTCTGGCTGTCTGAGATGGGTCCCCTCTCAGGCCCTTGAGCAGTGGAAGGACACAGCTTTTAGCAGGAGTGCTGTGGTTGTCCTGGGGAGAGCAGGGTGCTGCAGGAATATGTACTGTGCAGTGATGGAGGCCTGGCACTCTGGTGTGAAGTTGCTAGAGGCTGACTTGAGTATGACGGTGGAGCCAAAAGGGTTACTGTGGGAAGGACAGATTGGCCACAGGTGGGATGGGCAGAGAGGACTTGGTGACCTGGAGGAGTCTGGCCTGAGCACCTGGGCAGAAGGTGATGTGACTTCCAGAAATGAGGGAGAAGCAGGCTTCAGGAAATGGACCTTTTGTTTGAGGCATGCTAATTAGGCATCCCAGAAGATGTGGACCTGGAGATGCTTGGCAAAAAGATGTGTTTTTCACAAGCACATGGTTGGTATTTGAGCTGTGAGTGACACGTCTGCACGTGGAGGGTGTAAGCCCAGGTGGAGAAGAAGTGTGAGCGGTAGGTGGGGAGGTCAGCTGCCAGGGCAGTGGGGCAGGTGAAGAGACTGGTGTTTGAGGAGCAAGGTGGGCAGAGTGCTGGGGGTGGGGGTTAGTGTTGCTGTGTCTGTGACGCAGGGCTGAGTAAGAGAGTGAGGACAGGCCACCAGATGTGGTGGGAGGCCATCCTTGACCAGGCAGTATGACACGGGATATGACAGCCAGGATGCAGTGGGCCCAAGGCAGAAGGAACTAAGGAAGTGGAGACTGCGAGTATGGACAACACTTTGGAATTTGGCTATGAAAACAAGGAGAGAACTGGGGTCTTAGCTGGAGAGCTGTGAGCCTGGGGCACAGAGATAGGACTCATCCCCCAGAGAGAAAGGGCCTGCTGACACCCGGGTGAGGAGGGGTGCAAAGGGCACAGTTGGAGGATGGCCCAGGGGACAGGGAGTAGCGACAGGCATGTTTTGGTTGGTGCACTGGGTAGGGGAGGGTGTGGGTACTCACTGCTGAAATGGAGCTGGAGGAGAGGACGTGGCGTGGACATGGCCTGGACTCTAGAGTGCGAAAGTGAGCTTACTGGGGAAGTGCAGGGGCCTAGGGGGCCCTTGAGGCCTGTGATGGGGATTCAAGGGGAAGCTGGGGCTTCTGCCCCCAGCACACCGCAGGTCCAAGGCAGGCCAAGGGCTGCGTTTATCCTGAGTTGGTTTTAAGCCAGTGGGTATATCTGAGGGGACAGGGACAGATGAATTAGTGTTGAGTAGAGAAGGCTACATACACTCTGAGAAGTTAATGGAGCTGAGCACTGGGCATGGAGGGGCAGAGGGATGAGGGAAAATGGCGCTGGACTGGTAGCCTGGAGTCAGGGGACTGTCATAGTGGGACAGAATAGATGACTAGCCAGTTTCCTGGATGAAACTGGGACACTTGAAATTGTGATTTGGGGCTGGTGTGGTGGGAGTGGTGGTTGAGAAGGGTGGAGAACCAGGTCATTGAAGGTCGAGGAACAGAGATGGATGCTGACCATGTAGGAAACAAACCGACAGGACATGCATGTATGTGTGTGTGTGTGTGTGTGTGGTGGTGGTGGTGGGTGTCTGATGGCCGATGTACAGAGCGGCAGTGGCACAGGTCTGAAGGACACTGAGAAGCTTGGAGATGGGCAGGGAGGGTAGGTTCAGGGAAGAGGGGAGGGCTTGCTGCTGACAGCCACAGGGCAATGTTGGTGGCGGGGAGGATGGAGTAGTCAGGCTGTGGGGACAGTACTCCCCTGGGCAGCTGGTGGTATGCGGGCCCGGAACCAGAGCTGGAGTGTTCTCCCCGCCTTGCAGACACCCGGGACTACATCTGTGAGTTCTGCGCACGGTCCTTCCGCACCAGCAGCAACCTGGTCATCCACCGTCGCATCCACACGGGAGAGAAGCCCCTGCAGTGAGTGTGAGAGGCTGTTGGGGGAAGGGGCTGGCAGGATACCTGGGTGGCTGGACAAAGCCCCTTCCCTCCCTCCACCGTCCCTGGCTCAGGTGCGAGATCTGCGGGTTCACCTGCCGTCAGAAGGCCTCCCTGAATTGGCACCGGCGCAAGCACGCAGAGACGGTGGCCACCCTGCGCTTCCCCTGTGAGGTCTGTGGCAAGCGCTTTGAGAAGCCAGACAGCGTCACGGCTCACTGTAGCAAAAGCCACCCAGCCCTGTTCCTGGCCCCACCAGGGTCCCCCGGCCCACTGGAGCCCCATCACAGCACTTCTGCCCCTGCACCCCTGGGGCATGGTGATGGGTGCAGGCCCTCCGGGGTCCTCAGCAATGACCCCAGGGACTGAGAAGGAGCAGGGCCAGAGCCTGGTCCCTGGAAACCTGGGTGACAGACTGCAGGTTGGGGACGGAACTGGACTCCTGGGGGCTGAAGGACAAAATAAACCCAGAGTTTTACATGGACACACGTGGGCGCAGTGAGTGTTTCTGCATCTGAAGTGCAGGACCTGATTTCTCTGCTAGGTATGCAATATAGCTTGGGGCCCTGACCCCCATACCTCAAGGACCCAGCTTGCTTTCCCAGTTGGGCACCTGCAGCCCTCTCCTGTGGAGTGTCACATCCACTGTGACAGTAGGGAGAGTGCCGGGTCATTCTGGAGGGATGAACTGGAGCAGGACTACAGGTATGTGGCTCTGGGCCATGTTTGTCCTCTCCAGTAACCAAGAGAAGCAAACAAACTGTACAGGCCTCAAGGAGTCTTGCCCCAGTACAAAATGAAGGGAGACCGTCCTGCAGCATCACCAGGCTGCCTCGGGAGGGGCAAGACCTTGGGGCATCCAGGGGCCAGGCTCCTGGATCATTCCTGAAATCTGCAAACACCAGCCTCAGGTTGTACAGAAGAAGCTCTTGGCACCTGGAGCCCACACACACACTTTTATTTCACTGGCGATAAGAAAAAACTGGCAATTCCAGGGAATTTTCCACCCTGTCCTGTTGCTCCAGTCTGGACTTGGAGGTAACATTCTGATGCTCCACTTGGCAGTGCTCAGCTTTGTAGACCCAGGTGGTCTTGGCTCAGGTCCTAGGACTAATGTCCCCCAACAGGCCGAGAACACTGTCTTGAGAGGCACCTTGACCAGACACCATCAGGCCTGGCCCCTGGGATAGGTGAGTGGCCACGCTGAGGGCTCTCAGCCACCTTTACGTGGGTGGGTCATTTGTTGGAGGCAGCAGGCTAGGTGCTTCATATAGATGTCCTCCAGTGAAGCAAGCCCCCCACCAAATCTGCCTGCAAATTTCGCATCTCAGAAGCCAAGGGAGCAGAGACTAACAACCACATGGAACCAAGAGGCGGGAAAGGCAGGTAGGATGTGTTGGTGGCCACGACCCATGATTATTACCTGAAGAGGCAGGACATCAAAGTATCAGGAAGAAGAGAGGTAGTGGGGACTCGATGAAAAAAGAGAGGGACAGAAGAGACAACCCATGTGGGAAGACAGGAAGGAAGCACCTGAGAGCACCCCAAACGCAGGCTCTCTCCGGGTCTGGGGCTTGTCCTGACTCAGGAACCTACCCCAAGGAAAGGACTGACAACAGGAAAAGGGCTGACAAGGGAAGCAGATGTAGGAACACAAGAGGTCAGGTGAAAGCCTACCACCTGAGGTGGGAAAAGGCGAGAGCCACAGGTCTTTCCAGATGCCCATGTGCGACTTGGCCCCGCTGTCCCAGGCTTGCCTACCACACTCCAGGGAAGCCTCTCAGCAAGGCTCCCTCAACTGGGACACAAGAAGTCCCCGATTGTCCTGTCCTGCTTGCCCAACAAAGATGAGGGCAGCGGCTGTGGTAGCCTGGGTGGCAGCGGCGGCCGCGCGAGCACGCGTGTGGGCCCGCTGGTGCTGCGACAGCGAGCGGCTATGGCTGAAGCACTTGCCACACTCAGCACATTGTGCCGGCCGCTCGCCCTGGTGTGTCTTGCGGTGCAGTGCCAGCTTGGAGCCCACGCTGAAGGCCTTGCCACACTCGGGGCACTTGTGGGGCTTGTGGCCGGCGTGATTGCGCCGGTGCACATTGAGGTTGGACACGCATGTAAAGCGCTTGCCGCACAACTCGCAGCGGTAGGGCTTCTCGCCTGTGTGCGTGCGCCGGTGCTTGGTGAGGTCCGAGCGGTCACTGAAGCGGCGGCCACATTCGGGACACGGGAAGGGCCTCTCGCCCGTGTGGATGCGCTCGTGCACCACCAGGTCAGAGCGCTGCCCAAAGCCCTTGCCACAGGTGACGCAGGTGTGCGGCCGCGCCCCCTGGTGGCTGCGCCGATGGCGCAGCAGTGTAGAACTCTCACTGAAGCAGCGCCCGCAGTCACCGCACACGTAGGGCCTCTCGCCCGTGTGCGTACGCTGGTGGCGCACCAGCGTGGCACTCTCCAAGAAGCCTTTGCCACACTCGGGGCACTTGAAGGGCTTCTCGCCGGAGTGTGTCTGCAGGTGTCGCGTTAGCGTGGAGCTCTTGCTAAAACTCTTGCCGCATACACAGCACGGGTGCCTGTCTGGAGCCCGTGCCTTCCAGGGACTGGCCTGGCCGGGGCTTTGCCCCGCGTGCATGCGCGCATGGCTCCGCAGCCCTGCGCTGCTGCGGAAGGCCTGCGGGCACTGTGTGCAGCGGTGAAGCAGGGCAGCTGGTGTGGCCGGGGTGCCCCTCTGGTGCGCCCGCTCTAGGTGGAAACGCAGCGCGCTCTGGCGGAAGATACGAGCGCACAGCGGGCAGCGGCAGGGCCGCTCCGGTGGGTGCGAGTGGCGCCGGTGCAGCAGCAGAGCTGGGTAGTGTGGGAGGCGGCGGCCGCAGACACGGCAAGGGCAGGAGCGGCGGCGCCATCGGTGTATACCTTGGTGCAGATCGAGGCGGCCGCTATGGCGGAAGCTCTGGCCACACTCGCTGCAGATGTAGAGCGTTTGGCCTGCATGAGCGCGTCGGTGCGCGCGCAGCTCAACGGTTCCGGTGCAGCGCTCTCCGCAGTCCAGGCAGAAGCGGCGATCGCCGCCATGAGCGTGCTCGTGTCTTAGCAGTACCGAACTGTACCGGAAACTCTTGCCGCATTCACTGCACGCGTAAGGCCTGCCTGCCGCCGCTTCTGATGCAGCTTGCATGCTGAGAGCGGCCGGAGGGCGGGAAGTGTAGCACTCACGCTTCGGGATGCACCTCCTGGAGCTGCGCGGTTATTTTCAGTTTTCTTACAGCCTGGAAAGGCGGTTTGCTGATTTCAGGGTTCTTTCTCTCCTGGGCAGGTGCTGTGGCTGGTCAGCCCTGCACCGTGAGCCCTGCAGAGACAAGGTCACTGTGAACTCCACCGACAAGTGCAATGGCTACAGCTTGGTCAACCCAGGGGTGAACGCTGAATTCCGATTCCATTCTCCAAGGGGAGGAAAAGCCACAGGAGTCTTTGTGCCACCAGGAAGGGCAGTAGGGACTCAGAGGAGAACTTTCCTGCAGCACATTGCGGTTTTGGGGAGTGCCTTGCCTGTCCTCTGGCCTTAGATCAGGGGTCTTGGCCTGGAGATGCACTTGAAAACGACCAGGGCAATGAGAAGGCTCCTGGGCTTGGACCACACTAGCGCCTGCCTCTGAAGCCCAGGTTTCCTGAGGCCTGGACTGGAAGCATAAACACATTGAGCAGTGGCGGCCTGAGCTAAGGCTCAGGAGGGGCTGTGGCCTTGGGCAAGGGAATACCTTCCCTTCTAAGAGACCCCAAAGCACTGCTCCTTGGCTGTGGAATGCCTGCTAAATCATCACTGCACACCAGTGTGCAGCCCCCATGTTCCCCTGGCCTAGCCCAGGGAAAGGAACTGATGACCCAGGAAAGGGGTGGAAAGGGAGCATGGAAAATTCACAAACAGTATTATTAAAAGTTGATGGCATTATCCAAGAAGTGCTTTTCACATTTTCAGAGAAGGCCAAGGAGAAGGAAGGGGCATCCTTTCTAATTCTCAGGGGTTCCAAGTTGCTTGCAGGCATTCTGCAGCCTTTCTTCACTGCCCCAGCTCCAGGGATCTGAGAACCTAGAGTAGCAGAGAAGTCCCTTTACAGGGACAGAATCTATTCTGCTGTCCTTTATCTCCAGTGGTGTCCCTGAATACTTCTTACAAGTTGGTCCAGGCAGCTGCCCGGGAGCAGGGTTGGCCTTTGTGCACAGAGCCTCCTATGCCTGTGAACCAGAGCACAAACAGGCTGCACTCACCACTGACTGCTTCCCAGCTGGATCTGTCCTCAGCTCAGTTCAGTGGGACACTGGAGGTTAGGTAAAGTCACTATCAGTTACAGGCTGTGTCACCCAACATATCAGGGAGAGGAAGCAAACAAAATGGTCAGCAGTCATTTTCTTATTAGCAGATGGAAATATATATACCCAGAGCTCTGGTTAAAACACCACAGACAGGGTCTTCATCTTTTGGACACAAATGGGGTCAACTGACAAAAACCTAGGAAGCCACAAACCTGCAGGATGGACTCTGGGGCTTCTGCTCCCCTGCACCCTGGGCAGGAGTGGCCGATGCTGGAAGTTCTCTTGCTGCCTCTGGAGCAGGACGTGTTATGCCTTGTAGGAGTGAAGTAAGAGAGATAGGTGGACTGAACTGAGCAGAGAGGAGAGAAGCAGGGAGAGAAAAAAGGGGGAAATGTTTCATGGAGGAGGGTATTTTTTTAATGGACATTTTCAAATATAAAAAACTAAAAAAACAGTATTACCAATTATTCACTTGCTATTCTGCTTCATCTATGACACTCCTCCTACCCCAAAGACCTTTTTTGGGGGTCTGGAGTATTTTAAATCTCAGACATCTTATTCTAAGAGGATGGGCAAACTTTACAGGGAGTCCCTCACTTCTTCCAGAGGGAAACTTCAGCCTAGACATTGGGCTGCTAATTCTAGCTGGTCGTCAATTCAAAGGAATCTACAATCATGTAAATAAAACCTTCTGTGAATACTCTGTGCTTGATCCCAAATGCCAAAGAGAGCAATGCTCATGTCCTGGTGACTGTTCTGCCTCAGCTGGGGGTCTCCAGGAACCGTGGCACCTCCCAGGCCAAGTTTCTGGGAACCCGCCCTGTGCCAGGTCACCACCTCCCAAGGCACATGCCCAAGGTAGGTAAGACAGCCATGTAAACACAAACGGCATATACATAAAGCTACCATTTCCCCCCATTACCAGTATGAGTAAGACACCCTGGTCTTGGGACAGGTCTGGTGCTTGAGTGCAGGCTGTACCTTCAGGTGTGTCCCTTCTGCCCCTCACCCCATGCTGGAGCTTGTCCCAGAAGAAGGAAATCTGAAAGAAAAAGTAAAATATTACTGTGCCAAAAAAAAAAAAAAAAAAGATTTCTGACCACCGCTTTCCTGACAGAGTTTTGAAGTTGTTGTACCACCACACTTCTTTAACTTTGGAAAAAAATAAGGACAAGGTGAGCTTGGAAAGAGGGAATAGGATAACTATGTATGAATTGGTAAAAAGTTCTAATTGTTCAATAAAGTATTTTAATATTTTTCAAGCATTTAATACTTAGAAATATTTATAAACACTATATATATATAACTAATAAAAAATTACTAAGGAGTAAGATAAACTTGGAGAAAGGTAATATTCACAGTAGGTTAAAGATAAATTCTGAGTTTCATATATCACTTCATTTTTGTTTCTTAATAGATATGCAGGTATCTCATATTATATCTAATTGATGTAGGAAATAGTCAGGATTCAGCACCTTTACCAACAATCTCTTCTGAGGCAGTTCAGTTTTTCTGAGTCAGTATGAGGCTTTTTTCCTGGTTATCTGTTTTGCCAGGGACCAGCCTTTCTGGGACGGGATGGAGAGAAAAGTGATCACCTTGTAGTTTCTCCATCTTGAAGCAAGACTTGGGGGAAATGGGTCTGGGCTGCAGGAGCACGGTTGAGGGCTGTCTCAGCTGTACAGCCCATTAACAGCAGCCACAAGCTACATGTAACTACTGAGCACTGGAAAGGTCCAAATTGAGATGTGCTGCAAGGGTCAAGTACACTACTGATTTTGAAGATTTAATATGGGAAAAAAATGCAAAATATCTCATTAACGTTTAATATTGAATAAACGTTGAAATATTTGGGATATATTGGGTTAAATGAAATATTGCAATTCATTTCACCTGTTTTTTAGGAAAAGCAAAGATTACAAATGTGGCTCACATTTTATTTCTATTGGATGGTGCTTACCCACATGGCCTTTCCAAGTCCTGGGACAATGTACAAAGGGAGGATAGCCCAGTCCACAGCCCCCAAGGCTTGGCCTGGGAGGGGCTCACTGACCACACTGACCCTCAGGGCCTCAGAAGCCAGAGCAGAGGCCACTGTCCCACCTCCCAGTACTCAGGGCCCTGGTGCCCTTCCAAGGGGTTCTCCTACACTTCTGGAAAGTAGGCATGTGCACTGCCGACCAGGAGACCAGCTGTGACTCATATAGTACCTCTTACTGCTGCTCTCCCAGTTGTTACCAGCATCAACATATAATGACTCTGACAAGGAGAAAATTCTGACAGGTTCTAAATTACAGAGGCTGGGGAATGAGAGAACAACAGAACTGCAAGTCTATTAACAGATGCTGACCAGCTAACCAAAATCGATCACATTCCTGTTTGCCTGCTGGAACTCTGAATTAATTCCAGGGGGCTATTTCCACAGATTTTCTTAGCCAGGCCCTGTCTAACCCCAGGAGCCCCCTCGTTTACATGAGGGCTTCCAGACTGCTGCCCCAGCTTACCCACAGCAGTGGACATTTCTTTATGTGGACTCTGCTAGCCCAGAGCTGGCCCCGCTCCACCTTCCCCACCCTCTGCCCATGGCTCATGAAAATTCTTTCAGAATGTCTCCTTCCTACTACTTGATGCATAAAAACACTTGCAAAACTCTGGGACGTCGGACAAGCTGTCTTTTCTACCTAGCCACGCTGCTGGGGGGATAGATTCCAGGCTCCAAATTGGTCTTTTATCTGGCATTTTTGGCTCAATGAAACCTTGATTGACAAAAAGACTTCGGTTGTGGAAGTTAAACATTTTTGATACAACTCTCATGTGTTTGTGTATATGTCCCCATTTTACCCTTCCAGCAGTCCTTTGAGATGGGTACTACTGGTTACCCCCTTGTGACCCAAGGTTCCTCCTGCAGCAGCTTGCCCAGAGTCACCCAGCATGAGCATGGCAGGTGGGTGACTCTGCCTGGGATAGGAAGGGGACAGCAGGCCTGGTGGCCTATCTTTAGCTCTCCCAACAGCTGCAACCATTCTGGGCCTCAGCTAGCAGGCAGCAGCTTGGTGGAGAGCCCCAGGCGGCCCCAGGGACCACCACATGTGGACTGGGCTGAGCATTGATTCCTTGTGGCCCTGGGGGAAAGGATACTGAGAGTGTGAACAGAAGTGGGTCAGGGTGCGGTACCTCAATAGGAGAGATGATTCTTCTGCTGGTCTCACTCCGTCTCCTTAATCCCCACCACTGCCCCAGCCCTGAAGACATTGTTGTGTCCAGGACTGAGACACACCTGGAGGATGATGAAATCTATATGCATATAAAAGTAAATTATCCCTTTCTCACTCTTGGGTAGGGAAGGAATCTAGAGAGTAGAAAAGTCTACCTGGCCCTCTGAAGCTTGCTTTGGGGCCCTTTCTCTTGCAGTTCCTTCCACCTAGAAAGGCCACACCCCACCCCCATTCAGGGCTCTGGTCCAATAACACCTCCTTAGAGAAACCCCGCTGAGCACCTTCACACCACCATCCCTGTACTTGGCTTTAGTCTGAATAATCAGTGAAAACAACAGGAAACAGTGATTCCTATCCACTCTGCAAAAGTGTCAGCACCTTTTCTAGGTGAGGGTGCAGTGTGAAGTCCAGAGCTGGCTTCCTTCTTCCACTAACAGAATCAAGGTCCAGGGCTTCACAAGAAGGTTCCCCTCCAGCTTCAAATAAGGTCTGATGTTTTAAGGAGCTGGTGGAAATAAGAATGACAACTCCCTCGCACCCATGTGCCCAAGCCTGATTCTGATCTAAATACATTCTTTGGGAAGTTTTCCCTTCACCAAGATTCTCCTATGAAATCTGGCAAGTGTGGAGGAAGTATCCATGCTGGCTGGGAGAGAACATTCAAAGTAGGATAGCTTATTTTCTGCGTTCCTTTGACACTTGGGCTAAACTGCATTCCAGAGGGGCCAAAGCACCCAGCACACCCTCCCTGGGCTTGGCAAGAAGCTCGGCACACCTAAGGCACTCAGTGCTTTCTAAAACCGCGGTATTAACCTGCAATACAGTCTCAAACATTGTTCCTGCAGTCGCCCTCTCCTCCACAGCCCCATCCCCTGTGTACACTGCAAAGCTCTCCTTTGGTTTACTGGGTCGCAACTGCAGCCTATGTAGGGGAACTAGAAAGGCCAGCGTCCCGATTCTGATTCTTTTATGACCAGCTGTGCGACCTTGGACAGCCTGCCTGTTAAAACTCAGTAAAGGAAGCTACCATGTTTCATATGAAAATAGGGAGGTCGAAATATGTGCAAGTCTGAGAATACGGTTGCCGAGGTTTTAGGATTTACTCTCTTCAGGAAACTATTCAGAGAAGGGACCCGGAATAAGGCCTCTGACTTCCACTCCTACCTCCTCAGCATCCTGAACATTCTGCAAGACCTTTGAAGTCCTTCCCCTGATCATGCTCCACTCCGGGAGCTTCGAGAGTAGGTGACTCATTTTCAGACTTGGCGTCTGGTACTCAACGGGAGCCCAGCACAACTATTCGCGGAATGAGGAAGGCCGCACCCAAGTAGGTAGCCTTCCCTGACCCTCCCGCAGCGCAGCCAATTCCAGGCGTCGTAGCTAAGTTAAGTCACAATTTGCTGGGCAGATTTTCCTTTGGTGGCACATTTCCCACCCTCCGGCCTGCTCCCAGCCCTCGGCGCCAGCCCACAGGAAAGGCAAAACGCAGTATCAAGAACGTTGTGGGCAGTAGGGGCGTTTAACGTCGCGGAGCCCAGTGGCTGCTCCTGCCCTTTTAATGCGGTTCGGCTTAGTGATGCCTGCGTCGAGGGGCTCTCAGCCCTGAAGGTCACAGGAGGACCGGCGAGAACGCGCAGAGGGTCAGGCCTGGGAGGAGCAGGCCGCGCGGCGGCGGCGGGCGTGCGCCGTCCAATGGCTGATCCCGTCACCCTTCCACGTCACTCGTTGCCGGGGCGGTGCTCAAGATGGTGGCAGAAGCTAGACGCCCCGAGTGGACAAGCCGGGCGACAGTTGCGGACCGCTGCCCTGCGCCAACCCTTCCCTCCCGGCCCCTTGGTCCCCTCACCGGTTGCCAACTGGCTCTTCAGACACCGCGCGGCTCCTACTCAGCCGGCTCGCCGACCCCTGCCTCCTGGACTGCGGGACTGGGGCGGGGAAGGGAAAGAAGGGGCTGGCCGAGGGCGCGGACGCCGAGTCGGGGGAGCAGGGAGGTGCCTGCGGGTTGGGGGTCAAGCTTCAGCCTCGCTATCCGGGGTTGGTCACTGGTAGGCCTCACAAGGGTAGCGTCACTGGTTGCTGGGAGGACTAGGAGGCGTGAACGCTTCAGACCGTGCAGCCCCGCAGGCTCCGCAGAAATCACAACGAGGGGCGGGCTCACAGGGCGTAAGGAGGATCTGGCCCTATTTCCTTTTCGTATCAAGGCCCCGCCTTCCTCCCCGGCTTAACCAATTCCTGCTCCTTCTCTGTCCGCCTCTGCACCCATGCGCACTGCTGCAGCACCACTATCTGAGTCTGGGATGCACCACCTGGTGTACCGTGACGCGCGCGCCCACGGGACTACCGACGGGTGGCCCTGCAGGTGCTTCCACCCACCCGAAGCGTCCTGATAGTGACTTTTTACAGTGAGGCCAGACTGGATACTTGTTATCTCACGTAATCCTCGCCACAGCTCTGCCAAGGTGGCTTCTACAAGTTAATGACTAAATATCATGCTTTCATTCTTAAAGCGTTCGTTTCAGTCCCACATACAATGAAAACGGTAGCTTCTGGTGCTTCGCCAATGATTCCAAAGATGTCAACTGACACTGTCTGCCAACAGGGAAAGAAACCAGTACAGAAAAGTGAAATCTTAACAATCTGGAGTCATGTGAACAGGAAAGAATGCATAAAGTTAGTGAAATCCTGAATTGTAGATTTTACTTTTTTTAAGCAATGAGGATTTTTATTAATTTCAAATTGAAAACATATTGTAAAACCAGATCAAAATGGACTCTAGGAAATGAAAGGGAAAAACAAACTTACAAATTGCATCTATAACACAGTAATTTTAACGACGTGACACAGGAATTAAGGGTCTTCTACATTAATTTAAACAGAAAATAGAAAATGATTGGAGGTTGTGCTTTTTGGGGGGAGGGAGGTGCTTCTTACAATGTACTGCCAACTTCAAGGTCCCGGACGCTGATTCTGAGGCTGCTACTTATTTTTACACTTAGGCAGGTATATGAATTGTGAAGAGCTGTAGTAACTAGATATAGGTAAACTAGATACACTCGGTATAGCACAAAAAGCCTATCTGTTGAGAAGATATTTAAATTAGCTTTCTTTAAAATACAAACTTTTTCCTAGTCTTTAATGATGTCCTAGTCCTTAATAAAATTTCTTAGTCCTTAGTGATAACTTAAAATTGTTAGATAAAAATTATGTTCAAAATCCAAATCTAGGAATCACAGGTTCACAAGACATAGAAAATGAGCTTAAAACTATGAAGCAGAACCTTCAGGGAAAATCAGTTTCAAAGGAAAATACAAGGTAAGTATAAAATCAGTTTTTATGATTGAAACACCTTTAAGGCTAAGCACAGTAGTATAAACAATGCTAGCATCACATGCAAACTTGTAGCATCCTTAGAAAATATTTTGATTTGGGTTATTTTCACAGATTGGGGCATTTAAAACTTAAGTAGATACATTTAAACTTAACATAATGAATTAAGACTTTAAATAATCTTACTTTTCCTAATAAAGCTTAATTGAGGCAGTATATTATTGTGCCTTAGGGCCTGGATTGAGTTTGAAAACTGGTACCATTACTCAGCAGTATGACCTTGGGCCAATTATTAACTTCTAGTCCTCCATTAGAAGTGGAGTTATAATATACCTCAGTTGTGCTGAGAATCGAATGAATAGACATAAACCACTCAGAACAGTGCTTGGTACAGGTAAACACTGCATTGTGTTAGCTGTTTTTATCATTAAATGAGATGAGCAACTTGGAAAAATATTTTACTTCTGAAAAACCCAGATTTAACAAGGGTAGAAGTAATTCAGGGACTTTAATAATGGAGGTGACACAAATGACAATGGAGACCGAAAGACATCTGTTTTGTATTGAAGACACGGAAGTTCAAAATGTGCCAGGAAGAGATTACAGGAAAGGCATACTCCGGAACTGTGCTGTCCAATAATGGAATCATCAGCCACATGTGGCTATTTATATTAGAATTAACGAAATTAAAATGCAGTTCCTTAATAACAGTAGCTCCATTTTACTCAGTGGCTCACGAGGCCAGTGGTGACCATCTGCAGAACTAATATAGAACATCTCTATCACTGCAGAAAGGTCCACTGCAGAGTGCTGCTCTAGAAAATTGTTAATTTGTCACCTCCATCCACATTGGCCTCAATGAAAGGAGCCAGTGCGCAGCCCCCAACCTCCTCCTACCTGCTGAGGCTTGCGTTACAATCTGTACAGGAGGCTGTACTTGATGTAGTTGGGTGAGGACCAATCCTGGGAGAGGCCAGTGGACACATAAGGCATGACTGTGGCAGGCTGGACATTACATGTGTGCAGGACATTTCCCACTAAATGCAGCAAAGCTCTGTGACAACTAAAAGCTCTTGATTGTGAAGCATTGGAGGAAAAGGGAAAGGAGCTGTGGGAACAGGTCCAAGGGTGACAACACTGACGTGGTGCCGAATAGGGACAGCGGGGAGGATTCAGGCCAGAGTAGACAGAAGGTGGGTAATATGGTCATTACAGTGAAACTCCCATTTCACAAAATCAAAGTGACTGCTGGAGACTAAACAAATAGTTTGATTTCTATATGTAACTAAAGTAGGGAGGAAGCAAGGGAATTAAAATGTTAATGAAGCCACATTCTGAGACTGCAGTGTGCTGATCAGCTCTGCAGCCAGGCAAGGAGGACACCTGCAGAACAAAGGAAGATTTCTGCTGGATAACTAACTACCCATTCTCCACACCTGTGAAGGGGAAACAGGAACCAAGAATCATTTCCTATGGTTAAAACCTTGGGGAACCTAAGGATTAAAGGCTGGGAACCGCCAGCAGGGCCTTTACTCTACATATTTTTACCTTTTTAAGCTACATACTCTTCCCCTTCCTATGGGTTATGTCCATGTCAAAGGAACTGGGTTAAGTCTTTTTAAACAATAACTCACAATAACTAAAGAATTATATAGAAACGGAATTCCCTAAACACTCAGGGTCCCTCTCACTCTCTGCCTCTGAGAGGAGCCCACACTCTGTCGAGTATTACCCTTTTCCTAACTTTCCTTTTGACTCTTTGGCATGTGTGAATTCTTTCTTCACTCTCCGCCAAAAGACCCTCTTCTTCTCTTCTACAGGGCTTGGTCTCCCTGTCACTTGGGGAAATATGCCCTGTCCTGCATCATAACTTTTACTGTTTCTGCATGTCAACTTGACAATAAGGACCATGACAGAAGGCTGAGGCGTTACTGTCCACCAGACCGGTCCACTTAAGACACTCAGCGTCCTGCCCACTTGCTGCAGTAATAAATGTCACTGCTGGAATTTTCAACATAAAACTCCTAATTTTGTGGAAAAAACTCTGGAATTACTCTTACAGGCGTGTTCGGCTCTATTTCTTACACCTTTTTTGCTGTGGTGAGTTAGTGGGAGGGAACGAGAGAAGAGGCCCAAAGGGAAGGCAGTTCAGCCCATTTGCGCTGCACATGTCAGGGCAAACCCTGAGCCCGCTCCGAGATCCGGCTTTCTGCAGAAACACAGCGCCCACCCTGGCGATGCAGGCAGTTGCTCCCAGGTTGCTCCGCTCACATCCTCACACTGGTGAGTACCAAACCCCGCCTCCCCGCAGGGTCCTGACCGCTGAGGCGCCGAGTTCGCGTTGACAAAATTCCTGGTGAGACGTTCCAAAGGACAGGTCCTGGCTCTGGGTGCGGCCATGCGCTGGCCAGAGGCCTGGAAGACAGAGATTTACCGTCAGATTTACTGTCGGTTACACACCGTCATTAAAGGGTACCACGGAGTTCACAGCAGTGAGGTCAGTCACATCTGGAAACCACCGCCGTCTGAACGGCGGCGTCCCCTGGTACCCGGACTCAAGCTGCCCGACCGCCTAGGTCGCCATCCCACCAACGCGCCGTCGCTGCGGCGGATTTCCTAGGCGAGGCCAGAAGTGGGTGTCGTGAAGCAGGAGCCGCAAAACCATGAAGCAAGATGGCAGCGCTCTCTCTAGAGGCGGTGTCCAGTCTTCGTTCTATATCTAGCATTTTACTCACCAGGCACTCTTGACTTCCATATCCCGCCCTAGTTTTTCTCAGCGCAGCTCGCTCATGTTTCCGTCTCATCCAGCTGTGGCGGGGGAAAGACTGGAGGTGACGCCAGACGCACCCGAGCGCGTGGGGTTTCACTTTGTACCGAATCGCGGCGGGCAGGACGTGACCCGCAGGCCGGAGGGCGTGGTGCCGCGTGACGTATTTCCGCTTCTTTTCGTCCGCTTCGTGTTTGGTTGGACTGGCTCATCGCGGGGAGGGAGGGAGAGGTTGTTTTCAGTGGCGGAGCTTCGCGCACGGGAGGGTAAGCACAGGTGAGGCTGATGTGGGGACCTTTGCGCCCGCCTGTGTCGGGGTCCTTGGGGTTGAAGAAGCGTGTGGTTGGAGACGCGGGTCGGACGGTTCGCAGCCTGGAGAGAGAGACGCAGAGGTGGGGCGGGGCTGGTGGTAACGCGGTGAATCTCAGGGGGCGACGAGCGGCAGCCGAACGGGATGAGACCTGGGGCAGCCGGAGGCGCTGTGGGGAGCGAGGAGCAGGACCTCAAGGCCTTGAGGGATGAGAATTGGAGGTGGAGCGGGTCGTAGTGAGGGGCATGGGAGACCGGGAGGGGTGCCTCATTGGCCGAGGGCCTGGAGGCGCCGGTGGCCGACGTTCTGATGCTGAGCGTGCCCTTGGCCTTTGTTTCTCTTGCAGCTCCCTGGACAGTGTCGTCCGCAGCCTGCTCGGGCCCAGCCTGGAGGCACCTGCCTCCGTCCTCCCGAATGGTGCGCCTCCTCGCAGGTCTTGGCCCAGGATCCAGGCCCCCTTTGCTCCCTGCCTCAGAACTGCCCCGGGTCCCTCCTGGTGGGCTCCCTGCGGCTGGAAGGGAAGAACTTTGGCACAGACAAGGTTGTAGTTCTAGGACCCCCACTGAGAACTTGAATCGCGTCCTCTAACCGAGTGTGAGGTTCTCCCTGCGCCCCCTTACAGTCTTTGGGGAGAGAAACCCAGAGCCTAGGAAGCCCCAAGCTGGGGCCCTGGTCCCAGCATGTCAGTCCTCTCCTGTGCATAGGGCTTTGCCCTCTTAAGGTGGGCATGGCTGAGTTCAGGCAGGTTCCTGGGGGGCGGGAGACTCCCCAGGGGGAGCTGAGGCCAGATGTTGTAGAGAATGAAGTCCCTCGGAGCCCAGTCGCAGAGGAGCCTGGAGGAGGTGGAAGCAACAACAGTGAGGCCAAATTGTCTCCAAGAGAGGAGGAAGAACTGGATCCCAGAATACAGGTGAGGAGACTGATGGGGGAGAGTCAGGGGTACCAGCTTTGCTGGAGACCTGGCACATGAGTGCACTGGGGCAGGAGAAGAAAACAGGTTTGTCAACAAATCACTGCAGCACAGTGTGACAAGACCTAACAGATTTGTCTGCGATGACTGGCCCAAGTGCCTGGAGTGTGTGGCTTAAGCCTCACTGAAGGAAAGGGACAAATGGCAGACCCAAGAGGCACACTTTAGGTGGAGTGTAAAACTGTTCTTTCCAAATAAGCAGAGGGGCTGTCAGCCCAGAGATGGCGCAAGTGGGGACTGAGTGGGACATGAAAGGAGGTGACTCTGACTTTAACTCAGTGCCTCTCAGGAGTGTTCACAACTGTAAAGGGTGAGACTTTTGTGTCTTATAATGGTGGCGTCAGCTTTAGGCCTGTAAGGAACTCTGATGCGTTCAGGTCCTGTATCAGTTGTGGTCAGGCTTCAACAGTGCAGATGCTCAGCACTGAAGATGCTAGGTGCAGCAGATGGAAGGAGAGCGGGTTAATGGCCTTTGAACATTTATAGGCCTGTTAGTCAACTGGGTGCAATTTGAGGAAGACCTGGAGGAGCAGTGGGTGAGGAGGGATGGGTGGGCACCACTTGCAGTAGGTATTTGGCCAGACCAGGCTGGATCACAGTGTTTCCAGGAAGGGGCTGCGAAGGGCTCCCTGGGGAAGCCACTTGGGCAGGTGAGGGCCAGGATGTTTCTGTGTGTTTGGGGTTGAGTCTGTTCTGTGGGCTGTGGCGTCTCCAAGATTCTGATGTGCAGGTGACTCACCTATCAGTGAGCAGTAGCGTCCCTGGGTTTGCATTCCGGGGTTTCTCTGTCAGCAAACCTTTAGGTGACTTCCGTGCGTGCAGAGAAGTTAAAGCTGGTCCCAGCATTCTTCCTGCCCCCTCAGTGGGGCTCCCAGGATGTGTGTGGGAGCCATCCATGCTCACAGTGGAGCAGTGGTGAGCCCTTCGTTTACCAGTATGACTCAGTGACATTCTTGCTGTGTCTCACAGGCATGGCGTTGAAATCAGCTCAGTTTCTCCTGCTCATTCTACAGATTTGTCGTCACTGAGGAAACAAGTGGTAGCAAAAGCCTTGGGCTGAGACTCAGCAGCCTCCAGCCCGAAGATTGTGAGTTCCATGCAGGTCAGGCGATCTCTGTGAGCCTCGGCTCTTTACCTGTGAAGTGAGGGGTTGGTCTTGCAGCTTCACACGGCCCCTTCCCGCCCTGCTCTTACGTGGTCCCACGGTTCTTTTCTTTATCAAACTCTTCAGTTTACCTCTTGGTGAAAGTTTGTAGGTGGCACTTTGAGAAAGACTCCTGTGCTCATTGGGGAGCAGCCACGTAACATGAGGAGACACCCTGGTTTCTTCACACCTGTGCAGAAGTCTGCTTTCCCGGTGCCCACACAGAAGTCACTCCTGTGTCACACTGTCCAGTCCTGTGGGCACTAGCCTCAGCTGGCTGCTTAAGAAAATCAATTAAAATTCAATAAAATCGAAAAGGCAGTTCTTCCGGTGCCGTTGGTGATGCAGAAGTAGAATACTGTGTCATCATGGGCAGTTCCATTGGATGGGCTGTGTGAGGGGTGGAGGGAGAGCCCTGGCCTCCAGCAAGCCTGCCGTGTTCCTTGTCCCTGCACTGAGGGCAAGCAGGCCCTCGTCTGTCTTGCCAACCTGCGGGGCATGCTCTGGGTCATTTAGGGAGAAGAGGCCCCTTCATCACGGGTGTACTCTCTGGGCCATGCTCCAGCCTCAGCAGGCACTCAGCCTTTCTGGGTGAGGAAGAGAGTGGGCGTGTGTCTTTGGAGGTCCCTTTTAGTTGACAGTGCACAAAAGTCTTCTGGTGGTGTGTTCTAGCACCTAACGTGGATTCTGGGTGCATTCAGTGGGTCCACCCCTGCAGACCCATCAGAACCCACCAGGTAACACCAGTCAGAACACTGGTGCCTGAGCTGTGCCCAGACAGTGGGATTTTGGTCTGGGTAGGTGGGAACTGGCCCTAGTGTGTGGCCTGGTGAGTTACAACCAGGTATGCCCCGGAGGCAGGGACCCTGTTCAGGTGTTTTTGGAACCTTGAGCGAGGCTCTTTGTGACTTGGGTACTGGGTTCCTCAGCAGGCAGACAGCCCATGACCTCATTATCTGGTGAGACTCCTCTGGAAGTCCCACAGGAAAGCCAGCTGAAGGCCAGCTCCAGGCCTATGGGGAGTGTCCTGTCCCCCAGGGAAGGCCACTGTATGTGCCCGTGTGTTGACCTCAGCATAGTTCTCTGAGACCTCCAAGCTGATCCTCTGCTCTGGGAGACAGTGTGTCCCAGGAGGGGAGCTGGGAAGGTGGGTAGTGCTGCGGGTTGGGGGATGCTGCACCACTACTTTCCTCCACCCCTCCAACCGTGACTGTCTCAACCCCTTTGTGGCAGGCACATTCCTTGCTGAGGCGAATAGATACACTCACACACTCCTCCTTAGACTCTTCAGGGTGACCCTGCAGCCTCTGCATCCTCATCTGAAGTGAAGTGTCAGGTCGGCTGCCATGGGCAGCCAGCGTCCTCTGCTTCCTGGCCCAGCCCTGCCCAGGCCTCCTGCCCCTGCGCTCCAATGGCCTGCACAGGCGGGCAGCCACCTGAGCCCTAGGCCTCTGCCTCAGCGGCCTGGTGTCGGGGGATGCGCTGTTTGCCTGGGAAGGTTGCCTCCCTGCTGGCAGCGGACTCAATGATGGTTGATATTCACTGACTCAGACTGCCAGGAGTCCCTGGTGGGGCAGGCCACAAGAGACATGTCGCCAGCTGCACAGATGGCCCCATGCTCATCAGATCCCCTAAGCCTCGCCTTGGGTCTGCCCCAGCCTGGCTGCCCCCACTCCCTTGCCCACCCTGCCATCCAGCCTGTTAGGACCTTTGTGACTTGGAGGGAGAGACCTCACCAGAAGATATCATTGTGGCAGGCGTTGTGCTGGTGTGAACCCTCATCCTTGGCCTATAGCCAGCACCCTGTGAGTCTTTTTTCCAATGGGGGTCACACCATGTAGAGCTGCTCACTCCCCTGATGACCTTGTCAGATGCTGGGAGCACTTTGGGCATGGAATCAAGTGGGAACCCACAGGGACATTGCAGGGTGGCCTATACCCGCTGCTTCCCCTTCTCCCCCGAGGCCTGTCCTCTTCTTACCAGGGCCATGGTTTTCTGAGGGGATGGTACCTCTCCTCTGAGGCATCCATCCAGGGACATCCTTAGTCCTAGGAGAGTGGTCACAGTAGCAGGAGTGCCAGATGAAAGGGCAGGTCCTGGATCAGCCCCAGCTCCATCCCCAGTGTCCTGTCTCACTGTCTCTTGTCTGTGGAAGCAACTGAACTGAGAAAAGGAGTGTACAGATGGGGCTGGTAGAGCCACTGCCTGTGCCACAGAGTCTGAAACTGCTCTGGGCCAAGGTACCCACAGGAGCTCACGACAGGCTGCTTCACACCCTGAGGAATTGCCTCTTCTGAAGGCCTGTGGGTGATCCCATCAGCTGCAAGTGACAGTGTCCTTGTTAGGAAGGCACTGTGAAACTTAGAGCTGCTTTTGTCCTCCCCTGGGGCCCCTAGGCCCTGTTGGCCTGTGGTTCCAGACTGTCTTGTCTGATGGACACTGGGTTGCGTGGCTAACCAGGTGGTCATGAGCACTAGCTTCTACCCACACTGTCCAGTACGGGAAGCACTTGCCACTTGGTCAGGTTGAGATATGCCCCGAGGGTCTAATGCACGTGGATTTCAAAGGCAACGAGAAAGACAGTGTAAATTATTTCAAAAAAGAATGTGAAAGTGTTAGCAGTTTATATTGGTAAACTGTTGAAATTGTAATCTTTGAGGTATATGGATTAAATGAAATGCTTTGTTACAGCATGACCTATTAGGCTTTGCTTTTTAATGTGGCTGCTAGAAACTGAAGAGTGTGCAGGAGGCTGCATGTCTGTTGGACAGCTCAGCTCTGCCACACTCAGGGGGCAAGTGTGAGAGCATCTTGCAGCGGGGTCTGCATCGGGTGGGTATGCATGCTTTTACTCCTTGTTTTGGGCCTGGTGCATTCCTTTTCCTGTGATCAGGGCGTATACCCTCGTTTCCTGGACTGCACTTGCCGAGTCAAGTCTCCCCAGGTTTGAGGAGGGTATAGACATAAAAAGACTGAAAGGTGACCATGCGCTGGGTGGTTGGAGGGCTAGTGTCTGGGCCACGGGTAGCAGGCAGACGCAGGCAGGGTCTTTCAGTGAGCACTAGGCCTTTCCTGGGCACTGCTTTGCTTTGGGAGTGTCCTTGGCCTGTTGAGCTCCAGGAACTCCACCGAGAAAGAGCAGGGGCAGACACTTGAGGCCACCACTCCTTCCTGTTCTGTCCCAGAGGATCCTGGGGCCTGTGTGTCCGGTGACCGCTCCCTGAGGCTCTCTCTCCCTGGCACAGGATCTGCTATGCGCAGACCTGGGGTCGCTATCACCCCATGGCCCCAGCAGGCCTCATGCCTCTTGAACTACCCACTCTTCCCTGATCTGGCCTCAGTTGTCCACCGGGCCCTCATGATTCTGCGTTTCCTTGGGGTACTACAGGTGGCCTCCACCATTGTCTCCCTGCCTTGTCCACCGGGCCCTCATGATTCTGCGTTTCCTTGTACTACAGGTGGCCTCCACCATTGTCTCCCTGCGCTCCCCACATGTCCCACTCCTTGTGCTGGGGATAGTGCCAGTACCCATTTCCTGTGCTACAGCCTTGCTGGCTTCTCACCTGAGCACCTGCTCTATTGGGTCCCCACTCCTCTACGTCACTGGTGCCTTCGTGTGTGCACCAAGGCCAGCTTGGGAGTGAATATGCTGGATGTCGTGCCCCAGCCTGGTGTTCCCTGGGTAGGTGACCCTACCACCTCACCACCCAGCAGGCCCATGCCTCCAATGGCTCCCCTCACTTCCTGGGCCATGAGCTGCCACCTCTCAGGGCTCTTGGGTTGCAGGTGCTGAGCTTTGATGGTATGCATACTTAAATGTGTCCCAGGGGCCCAGGGCAGAGACTGTGGGCTCTGGCTGCAGTGTGGGGAGGAGGTGCTGCGGTGTGGGGGCACAGACTGCAGTGTAGGGGCAGCTACTTCATGGTTCTTTTCTCCAACCTGATGAATGGACACCCTTGGGGCCCATCCTCCTGCTCTCACCACCCTGTCTGTGGCAGGAGGAGCTGGAACACCTGAACCAGGCCAGCGAGGAGATCAACCAGGTGGAGCTGCAGCTGGACGTGAGTATCTGCGTTCCCTCACCCCCTTGGGCTGGTCCTGGGCCATTGCCACTTGTCTCCTTCCCTCTTGGGCATGGTGGAGAGAAGGGGCATTGTAGGAAGCTAAGGGCACTGGGACCTGCCCACGTGCTTCCACCTTCTCCTACCCACTTCTCTGTCCCTTGCCAGGAGGCCAGGACCACCTACCGGAGGATCCTGCAGGAGTCTGCTAGGAAGCTCAACATGCAGGGTTCCCAGTTGGGGAGCTGCATCGAGAAGGCCCGGCCCTACTATGAGGCTCGTCGGCTGGCGAAAGAGGTATGGCCCATCGTCTGCTATCCCGCGTCCCGGGAGCTGGTGCCAGGCTCCCTGGTCTCTGTGTACAGGAGGCACTTGGCCTTTCTTGTCACCTGTCCGTACATTTCTCTTTCCTTGGCTCCTGTCTCTCTTTTCTTTGCCTACCCTCCACTTCTTTACCTTCTCCTTCCTTTTTTTTTCTGTACACAAATAAGGTGGGTTCACTGGTACAAAACTAACTGTAACTAATTGGAATAAGATAAAGAAGAAAACTAGAGTCACCCCAAATCCTACCGCACACGTGGCTCATGGTTCTTGTGCCTGGGATTTGTTTTGGTTGACCATGGTAAGGCAACAGACACAGAAAAAACAGCCTTGAAAGAAGAGGTTGTTACTTACAGTTCCCAAGAGTGGGGCATGCTGCGCCATGCAGGGGCATGTGGGGAAGCACCTGGGTCCCCAGGAGGAAGAAGGTGCCAGGGCAGGAAGGTCTTGACCCACAGCCTTTTCGCGGTTTCCATGGAAGGGAGTGGATAGGATAGAGTAAGCACTTGGAGCAGTCTTAGGACAGGACAGTTTGTCATTGGGGTAGGCTCTGGGCCATGGGGTAGGCCTTAGTTTTCTGGTTCCTGCCCTAAGTGATTTAGGGTAGGGGCAGCATTGACCTGGTGTGTGAGGGTCAGATTAAGGAGGTGGTGGGCCTCAGATTGGTTGATTTGCATGTGAAAGATATGCTGGCGGGGGGGTGGGGGGGGGTGAGGGGTTAGGGATTTACTATCTCTAGAAATTAACTAGTCCTGGGAGGGCCAGCAAGGCCCCCAAGGTGTCAACATGTCATAAAATGTAGAAAATAAAAAACATGATTAATATAGTACAGATAACCCCTTAAAACTTTTTTTGTATATTATGTGTGTGTGTATAGATATACATCTCTGGCAAGATGGGATTACACAATGTATGCTGTTTTTATACCTTTATTTTACTTGTGTTATGACATAATTCCATGTCAATAAATATGCATCCATACCATCATTTTTAAGGGCTATTTAATAATTTCTTATATTAAATGTATTATATTTAACCAGTCTCCTAGAACTGGAAACTTAGGTTTATCCCAGTGTTTGTTTGGGAAGCAGGTTGATGAATCTCTGTGAGTACTTGTCCTTCAGCTTCCCTGGTCGTGGTCTTCAGCATACTGTCTTTCTGAAACAGGCCACGCTACTGGCTGCCTTCCAACAAAATGGTGTGGACCTTTCTTTGTCCTCCCTTTGGCAGAAGGCCAGTGGCCTTTGAGACTGCTAGGTCCACATAGTCACCTTTCACTGGTAGCAGGATCCTTTCCATCTCTATTTCTGCCTTTATTTCTTCTCTTAGGCCACATCCCTACAAAATATCTTCATAGAATGTTGCTTCTTTGGCATCCATCCTTAGTACAATTTGAGAGGTGATGCTAGCGTTGCAGCAGGCCCTCCTCTTGTCCTCACCTGGGTAGGTGTCCGTGGTCAGCTGTGGTCCCTTGGGGCTCCCCATTCTGATGGCCCTCTCCCCCCAGGCCCAGCAGGAGACACAGAAGGCAGCCCTGCGGTATGAGCGGGCCGTGAGCATGCACAACGCTGCCCGGGAGATGGTGTTTGTGGCCGAGCAGGGCGTCATGGCCGACAAGAACCGGCTGGACCCTACATGGCAGGAGATGCTCAACCACGCCACCTGCAAGGTAGGCTGGCTGTGCCTGCTATTCTCCCAGGGTCCCCTGCTTCCTCGCTGTCCCTGCACCTATCCCCTCCTCTCTTATCTCCTGCCCTCCAGCCTTCCCTCAGCCACAACTGTTTCAGGCACAGTCTGTCCCTTCTCTGCCCCATTTGGTCCCCTGAGGCTTCGCCTCCAGATGGGGGACCAGCCCAAGCACTTCATCCCTGTTCAGCTCTTTTGCTTCTGTTTTCAGAACATTCTCCCTTTTGTGCTTTTGAGCTCTGCCACTATACCTTGACTTTGGAAGTATCATTTGTGTATCATTTTCAAGCTAACTGAAGAGGACCAGGGACAGGGCATCACTGGCATCAGCAACCATCTGCTGCTTTCACTTGGGGAAGGGCAGGTGTTTCAGTCCATTCAGGCTGTTATTACAAAACAACACAGACTTGAACAACAAATGTTTACTTCTTACAGTTCTGGAGGCTGGAAGTCCAAGATCCAGGCCCAGGCAGATCTGGTGTTTGGTGTGGGCCCCCTCCTGGTTCTTGGCTGGCCGGCTGTCTTGTCGCTGTGTCCTCATGGTGTGGAGGGACAGGCAACTCTCCAGGGCCCTTTTACGAGGGTGCCGATCCCATTTGCTAGGGCTCCACTCATGACCTGACCCCCCCTCAGAAGGCTGCTTCCAACTCCATCAGCCTGGGGATCAGGTTTGAGCATATGGATGTTGGGGGCACCAGCATTTAGTCTAGAGCAGCGCATATCAGCTCCAGAGGCTGGTCACACCTCTGGTTCTCTGCTCCCCAGTTTAGGCTCATGGCCTGCACAACACTGGGGGAGGGTCCTGGAAGCTACATGTGGCAGGGCTGTACCATGGCTGGAGCCCTTGCCTGCTTCCTGTTGGGACATAGACACTTGGAGAGCCTCGGCTGCAGCTGCTGGTCCCCACAATGGGTCTCTGATGGTGATGGCTGTGGCAGATGTGCCCAGACAGACACTTCCAGCTTCTCACGTGCTGTCTGGAGGGCCCTAACCCCCTCTCCTGGCAGCAGCAAAGTGGAGGCCGGCGGTGCAGGTAACACCAGGCAGGTGCAGGGATGCACTGCTGTCCTTTGCGTCTCAGAGACATGTCCTCTCCAGGCTCTGCAGACAGTGGGAGGCCCCCCAGAGTGACATCTGGAGTGTGGCCCAACTCTGATGTGTGTTGTCTGCCCTACCTGGGCCAGGTGAACGAGGCAGAGGAGGAGCGGCTACGAGGTGAGCGGGAGCACCAGCGGGTGACGCGGCTGTGCCAGCAGGCCGAGGCCCGGGTTCAGGCCCTGCAGAAGACACTCCGGCGGGCCATCGGCAAGAGCCGGCCCTACTTTGAGCTCAAGGCCCAGTTCAGCCAGATCCTAGAGGTAGCCACGTGGAGAGGAGGAGGCGGGGTGCTGTTGGGACAGATGTGGGAAGGCATGGAAAGGGCAGGGACGGGTGCTGGCCTGCTGCTGGTCTTCTAGGATTAGTGTGGTGGGCCAGGGACCAGGGACATGTGCGAGGTAGGGTGGGGATGTGGGTGCTAGTGGAGAATGGAGTTGACAGGAGGTAAAGAAGAGAACAAGTGAGATTTGAAGGAGACCAGGAGGAATGGGGAGGAGGAACTGGCTAGGCAGGGAAAGTGGACCAAGGGAAAAGAGGAGGTGGGGGCAGGGAGGAAGAAGAAGGTGGGGTTGGGCTCAGGTCTGGGTGGAGTTTGGTGGGGAAGCAGCAGGTATGTTTGTGTGTGTTGGTGGGGGGGGGTGGTCCTGGCACGGGTGCTCATGTTGGGTGGTGAGAAGGGCCAGGGCTGTAGAGAGTCACGTAGTAGGTCGCCTCATTCCATCCCTTTCTTCCTCCACAGGAGCACAAGGCCAAGGTGACAGAGCTGGAGCAGCAGGTGGCCCAGGCCAAGACCCGCTACTCGGTGGCCCTACGCAACCTGGAGCAGATTAGCGAGCAGATCCACGCACGGCGCCGGGGCCTGCCCCCCCGTCCCCCAGGCCCGCGGCGCTCGTCCCCTGTGGGCGCTGAGGCCTGGCCAGACGGTGGCGAGGACGGTGACAGCGGGATCATGGAAGGGGCTGAGGGAGGTGCGCGGGAGGAGGGTGGAGGCTTGGGGCCGGGTCCCGCCCCCGACGCGGACACGCTGAGCCTGTTGAGCCTGCGCACTGTGGCCTCGGACTTGCAGAAGTGCGACTCCGTGGAGCACTTGCGCGGTCTCTCGGACCATGCCAGCCTGGATGGCCACGAGCTGGGTCCCCGGAGTGGGGGCCGCGGGGGCCGCCACCAGCGCAGTATCAGCCTGTAGCCTCATGCTCAGGGTGGCCAGTGCGTCACACTGCTGATGGTCCACGTGGGCCGGGTAGGCTGCAGCTCCTCTGCTCGGGTCCCTGCTTCTCCTGCAGAGGTTGGGTGGGCTGTGTCGGCCCTCCTGTCAGTTCTGCAACACCCCCCCCAGGTGTTGCAGGTGACAGCTCTCTGCCTTACCTTTTAGGAGGCTGCTGTGGCCCTCCCACAGTCTCCCCTGCTGGCTGCTCAGCCTGTTGGTCCCTTGCTGCCTTTTTCAGAGTCCCTTCTTTCTGCTGGCCTTTCACCACAGGGAACTTGGTTTAGAAGGTGTAGGGAGCCCATCCCAGAAGGGGGTGCTGGACCTGAGTGAGCGGACAGGTGTTCTACCCATCTCCCAAAGGCCTAAGGGTGGCAGCCCTGCACCCTTTCCCAGCCTGCCCTTATGTCACTTATAAGGTGCCTCTGAAAGACACCACCCCAGTCCCCTCAGCTCTCTCCTCATGACCGAAGCCACTTTGTGTGCCCCAGAGTAGGACTTGAAAGGTGCCAGTGTAAGGGAAGGTGAAGCCCAGCCTACCGTAGGGGACATCGCAAAGTCCACTCAGGCTCCCACATGCATGGCATCTCCCCAGATGGGCAGGCCCTCAAGTTGCCCAGGTGCTAGTGGCTCTCCCAATGTCCTTGTGGGGTGCAGGTACAGGTAGGTCCTGGGGGCCGAGGCCCTTGCCATCCTGCTGCCAAGGCACTCATTTTTTCTGGGTAGAGGATGCTGAGCAGACTCGGTGCCCTCCTCAGAGTGCCCCTGGGAACTTGGTGCTCCATCCCAGCCCAGCAACACCCACTCTGGGGTCCCTTGGGCATTCCTTTTTAACCTCCCCATGAGGGGAGGAGACCTGCCCTCCACAGGGAGCAGCTCTAGGTGTCTGGTGGTACTGCCAGGCTGTGTGTGGGGAGAGGTGGGGAAGCCAACTGGGTCTAGGTACCTTGGGGAACCTATCCCTCCTGTCCCACCCTAGGAGGATTTGTGCCTAGACCTGTGTACCACTCAATCAACAGGGAGCAATGGGCCTTCACATGGAAGGTGTCCCCTGATCTGCCCTCCACAGGGAGCAGCTCTAGGTGTCTGGTGGTACTGCCAGGCTGTGTGTGGGGAGAGGTGGGGAAGCCAACTGGGTCTAGGTACCTTGGGGAACCTATCCCTCCTGTCCCACCCTAGGAGGACTTGTGCCTAGACCTGTGTACCACTCAATCAGCAGGGAGCAGTGGGCCTTCACTTGGAAGGTGTCCCCTGATCTGGGGTTGAGGCAAAATGGTCACAATGAGAACCACTGGTTTGAGGTGGCCGTGGGTGATGGGGAACAAGAGGGTGGGTGTGTGTGCATCTGTGAGTGGGAAAGGGTCTGTTCCTGATTTTATTTAAATAAAATAGTTTATGTAACAGTAATGTTTATTACCCCTATCAGAGGACAAGGCAGGAGGGAGAGCAGGGCCATAGGGCTCTTTTGATGGAGCGATCAGGAAAGGCCCCCGAAGATGAAGGAGAGGTGGACCTGAAATCTAGCTGGGCCACGGGAAGAAGGCTCAAGATAACGGGGCTGCAGTGAGCTCGCACAGGGGAGGCCCCCACCCCTCCTGCTGGGCAAGTAGGGGTCTGTAGAGTGTGCGCTAGAGTGGACACATCAACCACTGTGGTGGCCCAGATGAGAGTGCCAGCCCTAGATTTGAGCACAAGGAAGGGGAGGGACACAGGTTGAGGGATTTAGCAAATAAATACATAGGACACCTGCTTAAATTTGAATTTCAGACAGAGTGGCCTTTGCTCTTACAATGTTTAGGCCATACTTAAACTAAGTTGTCTGAAATTAAAACTTAACACATAAGAGATGACTTGCAGGTCGGGCCTGACCTGCTGAGGGGCAGGAGGGGCTTGAGGGCCCTTGGACCCCAGCCTGTGAGGCATCTGGTGGAATCGGGTGTTGGGGACAGGGACTTGGAGTACATACATGACAGGGGCTTTGGGATGGTTCCCACCAGGTATACCCATGTCTACAGCCAGATGAGGAGGGGTCAGCTAAGGGAGGGCTGGAGACCAGCTGGAAACCTGTGGGAAATGGGTCTCCCAAAGTATCTGAGGGGGCAGAGCGAAGGTCAGGAGTCGGAGGAATGGGGGGCTCAGCAGTGACTGGTGACCTCAGATGGCAGAGGGCCCCGAGCCACTATAGAACATGCAGTGTGTGCCCCATGACAGATACTGTCCTGCTGTGGGACTGCAATTTCCTGACCTGGCTTATCTTAATTGAGAAATAAGGAAAGTGTGAGAAGGCAATTGGGTGCCAAAATACTTCTGTATGCTTGGAAAAGCTGCTGAGAGAGTGTGGCATCTGTCCTTGGCAGGTGAGCTTCCTGAGGTGACACCAGGGTCATCCTTCTCTTCCCATGCTCTGGCAGCGAAGGGCTGGTTGAGCCCACCCAGTTTCTTGTGGAATCCCCTGTCAGATAAGGCAGGATTGAGGAGAGCAGGAGGGAGAGGCTGATGTGCTTCCTTTATGTGCAAGGAGACTGCCACAGCGCATCCTGACGGCCACCAGTGCCCACCCAGCCTGCGTCTTGTGCCAGGCATGTGCCCTGACCCATCTCATTCCCCCAACAAAATTATGGGGTAGGTGGCAGTAGGAGACAGGCGTAGTGGGGTGCGGGCCAACCCAGCCTTGACGAAGGTAATGGAGATGGTTGGACTCCTGGAGACCTCACTCAAGCCCCTGAGTAAGGGGTTATTCAGGAACCAGAGATGAGGCTGCAGAGGCGGTAGGTGCAGGCGCCTCTTAGGAACTTTTACAGGAAAGAGGAGCTGAGAAATATCAGAAAAGTCAAGGAATTTTGTTGTTTCAAAGTAAGCAAGAGATAGTTGCGTTCTGGGGGATGTGAGATGTGGCACCTCGTTCCTGTGCCATATGTTACATGCCACTGAGTGGAAATGAGTGCTTCTGAGCCATGCCCTCTTCAAGTGAGCAGTTAGGCCTGCCGCCTAAGGGATGCTCAGTGGCCGGGCTTTTGCACCTTTCACCTACCCTAGTGCGTACATGCAGTTCGGGGTTCAGGATCTGCATCTATGTCTGGTGGGGTTTTCTGGAATGTCTATGCTTTACCATATTACCTGTGAAATGAGGAGGCCCAAGGGTGCCTAGCACAATGTCAGCAACTCTCTGCAGCTGCAGGGTGCACTGAGCCCCACATGGGGCCTTCTCTTTGGTCAGGTGCTGGACAAGGGCTGAGTCCCGTCTCCCTGTAGGTATGACCTCAGGGGGATGGGCCCCTGGGCTGTCACGCCCCACCCTGTCGGCAGGGGGCAGTTACCCTGCATGTCCACTTGGTCCCTCTAGGCCCCTTCCTGTTGGGCGCCTATCCCTATCTGGGCGCCTCCCACCTTCTCGCCTGTCTTTGGGGTTGCCGGCTACCTGAGAGCTAAGCCAGGTGTGTTGGGAGCCTGTGTGGCAGCCTGTTGTTTGGGGCCAGATGTTCTGTGTTTGTTGCATCTTATCTTCTGCCCACCTTGCTCATCCTTCCTTGGATCCTGTCCCTGTCCTTTCCTCTGCCTCCCTCCACATTCCCCTCCTGGGCAATCCTTCTTGGGCTCTTTGCACCATTCCTGAGTCCCAGGCCTCCACACTGTCCTTCCCAGGACCCAGGGGACCAGAGGGCCATTTCACTGGCTGGCAAACGGATGTGTGCAGTTTATTAAGAAATATTTACCAGGATCTCTCTGAACACAAAACACTGGAGCACCATAAAGCATGATGCCGTGGGTAGGGCGTCCAGGTGAGGAACAGGTGCATGCTGGTAACAGGTGACACAGGGCAGTAAACAAAGGACTTGAGAGGCCCCTCACCCCTGGTCTTCCTGTCCCTAGGCCCTACCCTTCTGAACCCCTCCAGCCAGGGCCCAGGTCTCACCCATCTTGGCCTTCTCAAGGCCTGGTGCATGACACTGTCCATCAAACATCTGCCTGCCAGCTTTCTGACACCTGTGGCACTCTCAGCAAGTTTCCCCCAGCTCAACTTAGATTTCTGTCTGTGCTTTGAGGCCTGACTCGTGGGCTTTTGACTAAAGGCCTTTCTGGGTCCTCAGCTCCTTAGCCAGGTCTGAGTTAACCCTCCCACCTCCAAGTTCCCCAAGCTGCTTCTGACTTAACACAGGACTGGTCAGTGTCACCCACGGTATCATCCCTGACCCCATCTTGCTCAACTCTAACAGAGTAAAACACATTATAATAGAGTGACCATATGTCATATACGGTCTAAAACTGTGACTCTCAAATGTGGAAGGAGGCAGATGTGCCCCAGAGCTGGAAAGCACTGACCACACTGTCCAGAAAGGCTGTCATCAGCCTGCCTCTGCAAGGGGCTGTGTGTGCATGGATGAGCCAGTCAGCTCCCCTGGGCCTTAGTGTCCCAGTCCACAAGAAGGGCACCGCACTGGGTAAATGACCTCTAAGTTTTCTAAAGCCCTCAGGAGATATGGTCGTGGAGGAGGTGGAGGCCACTGAGGCGTTTCAGTGGATGCTGTGGCTGACGGATGTGTGTGCAGAGGTCTGGGATCTGAGCAAGACGACTCCAAGTTCATGGTTGGTTAGGGCCTGGCGGAGGCAATAGATGGTGCTCTGGGTGTGAGGTGCTGACCATTCACTGCAATCAAGGGCCCTGGCATGCCGAATGGTGACCTCTCCTTCCCCATGTGGGCAGGTGGCGCCCACCACCCCTGGGATAAACCAGCTGACTTGTTTGGCAGCGTAATTGGGGTGGCATCAGAGTGAGTGTCTTCCCATCCAGGGCAGAGGGACATTTGGATCTAGGATGGGATGGAGGTCAAGATGTTAGGCACCTGTCCCCAGTCCTCTCTCTGTATCATTTCTATGGTAACATGCAGAAGTATAGTGTCCTTTCCGGGCCACACCCAGCAGGAGGGACTGTCAGCTGTGCCAGGACTTGGTCTCCTCCCAGATGAAGCACCCCTTCTTCCAGGGCTGTAGGGCTGGGGTGGAGGGACTATGGGGTTTCCCCGTGGGCTCCTGGAGCTATGTGGGCACTTAGGGGCTGTGCTGCCCAGGGGGCACGAGAGACCCTCACTCCAGGCCACCTCTCTTTCCTTGACCCAGTGTCCTGCTGTGCTTCAGCAACCCCCCCCCGCCCCCCACCCCCACACACTGCCTATGGAGGAAGGGGCAGGAGCCCAGCTGCTGGTGCAGTCTCTGCTCTCCCACTTGGCCTCCCGTCAGCTGCTCTTTTCTGAAACCCTGCTTCCGCTTTGGACAGGATTTCTGAAATCTCTGATCAGGAAACCTTTTTTCCTAAGACAGTTGTATTTGGCAGAAGGGCTTGTAGTGGCGTAGCTTTCAGGGACCTGTCAATGACAAGACAGGACAGAAGACCTTAGGATGGTTTCCCTTGGAAGGAAGCTATGTCTTCATGGCACCAACAGAAAAAAACTCAAGGTTTTGAAAAATGTGACAAGATATTTAGCTCACTGCCACCTTGGATATGCCTTGTATTTTTTTCTGAATTGAATTAAAAAGAAAAAAATATATATATATTAAAGACACATCCAGAGACAATGTGACAGATGAAAGGCAGACTCCGAAAGTTGGGCAAATGGGTGTGGAAGTGAAAATGGTGGAGATGAGACAGCACGGTGTGCCTACAGAAGCCCAGGGCTAGAGAAAGTGAAAGGTGTGGAAAAGTGAGGAATGGAGATGTGCCCTCATCTGGAGGGATGGGCCCCAGAGATACCGTTGGAAACACATCCAGGTGACTAAGCTAGTAGCAGAATGGTGCCCCAAGGCGCCTGGTCAGATTTATGGCCCTGCCT